TTTGCATGTTCGGTGTGTGACCAGAAAATGAATCAAAAAACGAAATTTTACGAATGTGACTTGAAACCGGTTTGTAAGAAATGTTACGATAAATTTCCGACTGAATTGCGAAGGAGGTTGAAGAGACAGCATGAAGCGATGCCACAAAGAAAAGCAGCGACACCAACATAACTGTAAAATTAAATATTTACATCTCTTGAGGCCTTAATTTACGTTTCAAATTATAAACTTGATCTTCTTTTAATATAAATTATTAATTTTTTTCTTTCTCTAGTATGAAGAACAGGAATTAACGATATTACATCATAGTTGCTTTAATTGTAACTAATTTATCGCTAGGATAAAAAATGTGTTGGCAAAACTGAATGATTATGAATTTTTCTGTATGGTTTGAGTAGGTTCACCAAAAGTGACACAACTTTACGAAAAAATCAAATATCTTTATTAGTGTTAAAATACCTCAGTGGCATTTACAGAAATCAAACATAAGTCTAGTGACTCTACAAAGTAAATAAACGTATAAGCTAATTTATTCTAAGTGAGAATTTATGACAGAAAAATCAAAACTAAAAAATTCCTCAAAAGAGTAAAATGGATTTTTCACTAAAAATTTTTGACAAAGTTTTTAAATAAATTACAAGGTAATAACAGTTATTTTGTAGTCTCTACTGTTTATTTTATGTGATTTTCGGACTCGTTATAAAAAAATAAGTATTTTCTTCAAATTTTCGTTACTCTCTGCTGTTTTGCTTGCACTATTTTAATTGCAAATAGTTTGCCTGTGTCACGTAGCGTTGTACTAAACTTTAATATCTAAAATGTACGAGTCTGAAAAGGAATAATTTAGGGAAATATAGAAAAAATAATGTATTAAGCGCGGACAGCGTAAAAATATTTCTCTTCATAACCATACAGGTGGAAGTCTAGATATTTTAATAAGTACAATTTCTAAGTAGTCCAAAGTAATTTCATGACAATATCTTTTTAGATATAGATGTTATTTTTAAGTCTAAAACTTCTGGATATTCTAGTTTACCCAAACTGGTGCTCGAATTGATTTAGTTTTATATTTTGATGCTGGAACTTTATTCAGCTTTGATCATTATTATAAGCAGTTTTTAGTGAAACTTTTTTCGTAATATTGATTATTACAGACACTATTAATGTTTATTAATAAAATGCTTTTAATTCAATCTTTATATTCTTATTCATCTATTGATGTCCTACCCGTTTTATATTTCTACAAAAAAAGCATTTTTGAGTAGTGAAAAAAATGCACTTGTTTTGTTTGTAGCACATAAAAGTAAAAATTAAATTAATGACAATTATTATGAACCTTGATTTTAAACTTGGCGCTAAATTTATTGCCATCGTAATAAAACGTATAATCCCTAATTCGCTACACTGAAGTCTTAAAGTTTTTCCCGCGCTATTAGTGAGGTTAGGCTTAAAGTTTTTGAATTGAAAAACCACTTTTTACATCTAAAACTGCATTTAATAGACAGAATATCATTATCGGTGTAACTAATAGAAGTTTTTTAACCGGTTGATAGTGATAAGCGTTTTGAGTGGTCAGATAAATAATTGTGTATACACCTCAGGCTGTGAGTTATTACGTTCTGCCCTTGTGAACYAACATTTAATCCATCATTCCCAGAAAATGGATTTCCGTACTTTGGAAGCAATCGATTCCCTTGACAAAATCAAATGCACTTCTTGTAGAAACTACTTATCTTATTTTCCTATAACGGCAAGTCAGAATGAAATATTATGTGGGAGGTGCCCTATAAAAGATGGCTTTATTCGAAGCGTGCCTTATGAGACTTTGGCCCAATTTCTGCGTTTTCCTTGTCGTTACCAACCGCAAGGTTGTAATGAAGAATCACATCCGGGGGAAATCCCACATCATGAAGAAAACTGCGAGTTTCGGGTATTCCCCTGTCCTATGCCAGAACCAGTAGCCTGTGAGTGGGAAGGGCCACGGGTTAATTTGTTACGTCACTGTCTAAATTCCCATTCTGATTTGGTGTTGCAAAATGGCGGCAAATTTGAACTGGATTTGACACGTCCGTGTACGTTTCGAAATATTGTCGAACACAAGAATGTTTTATTGTTTTTTGAAAGAAATTACGATCCTGAAGACAAAATGTTTAAATTTGCACTTTATAGGAGTCAGTACGACACTGAAACTGAGACTTTTTCCTATCAGTTGGGAATTGAGTGCGAGGGCTTGAATTTAAATATCGATTTAATGACAGGTCATCAGCTAAATTATGATTTAAAAGTCATTGGTCTTGATTCTTTGGTAAAAAATGCTACAAATAAAATGGCGCTCGGTTATTTAGTTATGGGTGATATATGTACAGAGGAAGCACAAGTCTCTGAAGAAATGCTTTCTATTTTGAAATGTTCAAAATGTTCGGAATATGCGATTCCACCGATTTATCATTGTTCTGGAAAATGCAACGTTGTGTGCTCAGAATGTAGGAATAGTCACCAGGAAAATTGCACTTCGGCGTTAGCCGGAAATATTAGTGTTGACAAACTGGCACAATTTTTAAATTATCCGTGCAAATATAAACGAAATGGCTGCACTTTTATCGCCAAATTTCATAAAATGATTCAACATCAAATTATTTGCGAATTTAGTGAGACATGTTGTCCATTGGGCAAAACTTATTTGAAATGTAATTGGACTGGAATGAGAAAAGTTGTGATGGCTCATTTGCAAACAAATCACCTACTGCATGTGTCTTCTAACGGAATGACGTGTTCTAAAAAAATTAGATCGTCTGGACATTACCGAACAATTAATTTTGCCAATCGCGTATTTAGATTATTTTACAAGAAAATTAAAACCAGTTATTTTTTTGCAGTTGAAACAATTGACCCTAGTACCGATAATTTCAAATTTCAAATTGAAATCCTAGACCCCTCCGAATCCGGAATGACATTAGTTTCTAGAAAAATTTGTGCAAACGTGAACGAAATTTGCTCTTTTACTGACTTGAAAAATTACTGTACTTTTACTAACATTACCAATTTTGAAAAAAACGGTTTGTTAACATTTAAGGTAACTATTTTGCAATAAACTTAGTTGTTTTTATATTAAGTTTATAATCCTTTAAATAAATTTGTATTTTCATAAAAAAATGTTTTATTTCGTGTTCATACCACTCTAAAGAGGATACAAAATTTGAAAAAATTGAGTTTGAAAACTATAAAGTAGGCTAAAAATGTCGATAAATCAGGTTTCACTATTAACTTTTTGTCCACTCTTCGATGAAAATTTCGTATAATCACAACTGGAAGAAAAATTTTGTTTTTCTTGTATTAAAACTTTTTCATTTTTCAGTTTTTGATTTTAAAATACTTCAAAATCTTGATTTCGAAAATCTCGTAAAAATTTTTGAATAGTAGTAAATTCAATTGTTAGAGGTTGGTATTTATGGTCAATATTTTTATTAGAGCAAAAAAATTACAAAAATTTACTTAGAAAAACAATTAAAACCAATACATTTAAATGCAATGGCACCTTTCAAATAATAAATAAATTTACAGTCCTTTATTTACGTAGAACCGATTTGTAGAACTTGACAGGCATTTATTGTATACATACCAACATGATAAAAATAATTCTTTGGAACGGAAATAAACACTACTTTTCCCACGCGATTTTCTTTCAAGTGAGGTTAGTCGTTAAATTTTTGAATTGAAATATCATTTGTTAAATCGAAAATTACATCTAAGTAGTAGTAACAATATCATTGTTTATGGTAAAGAGCAGAAGTTTTTTACCCGGATTTCCCTAGTGTTTGGACGAAAATCTGCGTAAACAACTATAAGTGGCTGTAAGTAATCACTTTTCGCCCTTGTGAACAAATATTTAATCTATCATTTCCAGAAAATGGATTTCCGTATTTTGGATGCAACCGATTCCATTGACACAATCAAATGTACTTCTTGTAAAAACTACTTATCTTATTTTCCTATTATGGCAAGTCAAGATGAAATATTATGTGGGAGGTGCCCTATGAAAGATGGTCTTAATCGAATCGTTCCTTATGAGACTTTGGCCCAATTTCTGCGATTTCCTTGTCGTTACCAACCGCAAGGTTGTAACGAAGAGTCATTTCCAAGGGATATACCTCATCATGAAGAAAAGTGCAAGTTTCGGGTATTCCCCTGTCCTATGCCTGAGCCAGTGGCGTGCGAATGGGAAGGTCCGCGGATTGACTTGCTAAGTCACTGTCTCAATTCTCACTCTGACTTGGTGTTGCAAAATGGCGGCAAATTTAAACTAGATTTGACACGTCCATCCACTTTTCGTAATATTGTCGAATACAAGAATGTTTTGTTGTTTTTTGAAAGAAAATACGATCCCGAGAACAAAATGTTCAAATTTGCACTTTATAGGAGCCAGTATGATCTTGAAACTGAGAGTTTTTCCTATCAGTTGGGAATTGAATCCGAAGACTTGAATTTAAGTGTCAATTTAACGACATCGACAAGTCAACAGCAGAATAATGATTTAAAAGAGATTGGCCTCAGTTATTTACAAAAAACTGATACAAATATGATAGCGCTCGGCCACTTAGTTATAGGAGAGGACAGCAAAGGTAGCGCACAAGTCGCTGAAGAAATGCTTTCTCTTTTAAAGTGCTCAAAGTGTTCCGAATATGCGATTCCACCGATTTATCATTGTTCTGAAAAATGCAACGTTGTGTGTGCAGAATGTTACAATTATCATCAACAAGTCTGCACTTTTGCTTTAGTCGGAAATATTAGTGTTGATAAAATGGCTCAGTTTTTGAATTATCCGTGCAAATATAAACGAAATGGCTGCACTTTTATCTCCAAATTTGATAAAATGTGTCAACATCACGTCAACTGCGAATTACGTGAGATATATTGTCCATTAAAATGCAATTGGAACGGAATGGTAAAAGATTTGATGGTTCATATGCAAACAGATCATGCATCCGATGTGTCGCCTAATGGAACTACGTTTTTTGAACAAATACATTCATCAAAAAGTTATAAAATAATTAATTTTATGAATCGAGTTTTTCTATTAATTTATGAAAAAAGTGCACCAGACTATTATTTTGCAGTTCAAGCGGTGGACCCATGTTTGGGTAATTTGAAATTTCATATTGAAATTTTAGATCCTTCTAAATCCGGGATGGCGTTGAATTCTACAAAAATTTGTGAAAAAATTAAGGATAAGGTTTTTACTGATAATAATAATAATAATTATGCCGTCTTTACTGACATTAACAACTTCGAAATAAACAATTATTTAACCTTTAAGGTAACTATTCTGGAATAAAATTCTAATGTTTTGTACTTTTATATTGTTATTTCCCTTAAATAAAAATTTGTATATTCATAAAAAAAAAATTATTCATGTCAAAATTTAGGGTTTTTCTCCCGTGTAAGGAAGTTTTGACAACTGTTTGACATTTCTCAATACGAATAAACGTCTGATTCTTCTTAATTAAAGCAAGTTTAAGCTTTGTTGAGCCAAATTAGAAGAATACAGTGTTGTATTCAACTCGTTTGGGGTTAAATCAGACGCTTTATTTCACCTCGTGGATGATAAACCACTCGGTGAAATAATGCGTCCCATTTACACTCGAACTCGTAGAATAAATAACTATACTCGTTTTCATATTAATGTGCATCGAAACAATCCTAATCTCAATCTTTCCTAAAAATTATTTTTTTTTAAATAAATCTGTACCCCATTTAGCAAAACATAATTAAAATTAACAACGTAATTAACATAGAGTAGCAAACATAAAGATTTTTGTCATTATTGATGTGACATTAACGACACTTTGTGTGAATTGGCCTTTAAATTAAAGATGCATTTAGACTTCTACAACCTACTTGATGCACATTAATATAAAAAATAGTATATTTATTTCATATTTCATATCCACTTTAAAGAAAACAAAACAAAGTGTTTGTTAAATTGGTAATTAACAAATGTAAACTAAATTTGACAATTTTTGTTTTCTGTCTCTCGAGGATGTAAATGTTTTATTTTAAAATTCTGCTTGATTTACCAAAAAATTCAAATCATGGGCTGGAGGGGGCCATACATTTGTGTAGTATTACTAGCAAACTGTTATGTAACCAAAGTAATAAATAAATATGTGCCTTAAATTTCATATTAGGTATTTTATTGTTAATTTATAGCAGGGCCGTAACCAGGATTTTATTTCGGGGTGGGGTTTCTTGTTGGTCCATGAAAATGAAATTAAAGAAGACGGATTAAAAAACAAAAATCTCTAAGTACACGTTTTTATTTTAAATTGAAATAAGAGATTTTAATTAAACATAAAAAAATACAAATTAACTCACAAAAGTAACAAAAAATAAAATAAATTTTTAATACTTTTTATTTTTTTATTTTCTATGAACATATATCGAAAAATGCTACGCAAGGGGTGCGTCTTTTAATAGGTTTTTTTTCAATATTTCCGAAATCATTTTAGAAAAAAATTTCAAAATTTGCTACAGATGATAACTTTTATACACCTAAACAAGTACAAAAATAAAATGTTGAAATTTTTAATTAGGTGCTTCCTAAACTAGATGGGATTAGGGTAAAAATTTACTCTAACTATTTTGCCTGTGGTTTCTTGCCACTTTCAGCAACAAAATTTCATAGTTTTTCATAAAAAAAGGTCTTTTGTGTTTTTCCGATACAATTTACGGATTTTTAGTAAAAATCGGTTCAAAAATTTATGTTACAGACCATAAACAGCATAAAAATTAAAACATAAATTTGTTTTACCGTTTAGGACGCCCCTAATTAAAAATTTTGTTATTTGGCATTTGTTTAGGTGTACATATAAGGMTACCAAATTTTGTAATTTTATCTATTCTGAAATATTAGGAAAAACCCTTTAAAAAACGTACCTTTTTTAGGGGGTGTAGCTCCTTTTCATAGCATTTTTCAAAACACTTTTATCTTAAAATTAAATATTCTATTAACTATTTAAATTTGTACCTAACAATAAGAATGAAACACTGTATAATTAACACATGAAAAATTTATTCACAAAAATTTAAAATTAACTCATTAAAATAACAAAAAAACTAAATTTTTAACACTTATAACACTGTATAAACAAAGTGCTCAGCATTTCGGGGGGGGGGGGGGTTSAACCCCCTAAACCCCCCCCTTGGGTACGGCCCTGATTTATAGGTTTCTGTCGTTTTTATTTTCCCAGTCTTGAACATTTTTTTCCGTGCAAAGTCATGAAAAATCTTGTCTAGTTTTGAATACATATACCTTTTTGTGGTACAACAATTTTTTTGGCTTTATTTTATCCTCTTCTGTGGGACCAATAAATCACACGCAAAAATAAATAATTATTTTCTTTACAGAATTCTGTATGAATTTGAATAATTTGAGCCATCTTTTAAAGAAAGCTGTGATCTGTCTTACATTCTTGCTAGATGGCAGTTTCACAAAAGTTAAATTTCAGACTCAAAAATTTGTTACAAAATGTAACGGCAATAAGAGCTTAAAACTTATAATCTCAGAATTTTACCACTAAGAAATTCAAATTTTATAAAATGCCCGCTCCTGTCCTCTATGAATTAGTGGTAGCAACTCGGTGATAAAAGGTCATTTTCCTTTAATGAATTATCCCTGTCGGTAAGTGAGGCAGCTGTAACAAGTGCATGCGCAAGTGGGCCCATTTTAGCCAAGCCGACCACCATTTTTGAGTTACAGTTCGTAATGTGTTAAAAATTTAAATTGAATAAAATGGAAAACCGTGCAAATATTCTACGTGCCATGCAAATATGCCGATTTTGTCTGAACGAAGAAGGTCCATTGACAAATATCTACGAACGTCAGAACAAGGACAACAAGCAAACTGTTCCACTGCCGCTGCAACTAATGGCGTGCGTTGCGATCGAGGTTCGTAAATAAGCTAATTTTCTAAGCGTCCTACAGGGAAACATCGTAACTACTGTAAAAGTTTGCTTTATTTTTACTAAATCTGTAATCACTTACGAGACATGGTTCGGGATTTTACTTGTTGTTGAGAGATGAGTGCGTCTCGGACTGTTATTAAAATATTTGTTTATATTTACAGCAACAATTTTATCAATATTTTTTTTGTATTTTTTCTATTAACAAGATAGGTTTATAATGCAAAAATTTTATTTGCAAATAAAAAACAAGTATTTTTTATCAATAATATTATGAAATAATTAACTGGGAAAATCTTAGTTGTTAAAAAGCTGCACAAGGAGATTATTCATAAATAAAATGAGATTTTCAAATCGTTCTTCTATAGCAGCAGGCTGGCGGAAAATTTAAATGTGACATAAACTTGATATACAACGTGTCTGATTATAAATGTCAGAACTAAAATATACAGGGTGTTCGTGAATTGCGAGTCAGCTTGGTTAAAATATCAGTATTTTAACCAATATTTTTTACAATGTAGGACAAGATACCAGGGACATGAAAAAATATTTAAAAAATTCTATCTATAAAAAAATATCAGCTTAAATTTTGCGCTTTGACTCCATTTATTTCTGTCGGAAAAATAATTTTCCAAGTTTTTTTGCTACAAGCTATTAGAAGAGGAAACAAGGAAGCTGTGTCCTAAATTATAACTCTGTTTAATCTTATTTGTGACTTTTATTGGCAAAATTTTTGTCTCTTTACTAAATAATTAAAAACAAACATATAAAGTCGCGGTCAATTCATAGTGGTCACTTCCCAGTGTAAATTTGTAAAAATTGAGTTGTGTAAATCCGAGTTTAAAATCTAATTGTTTTTTTAGGGACATATCTATCAAAAATGACAATACTGAAAAAGTCGGGTTAGAATATTTCACATATATTATCTACTGCACCTGTCACAATTGTTGACACAATTTAGTTACTTCTGCTGCCAACATAGACACAATCCTGTATTTTAAAACAGTAAAAATTTCTTACTTTCAGAACATTACTTTTTGTTTCTCTGTGTTTTTGAACATTTTATTTGTATAATTTTAATTGACTTGTATGAAAACAATTGCATGTGTTTTAATTGGTGTGTTGTAATACTAATTCTTTATTAATTAGCGAAAGTAATTTTGTGTTATACAAATTAGTAACAGACGTTACAACATGCATCTACAATATTAAAAAATAAATAAAATCATAAGAATAATAAGTAAAGACCCTGTCAAATGTAGAGATTTTGTGAAGGAGTAAAGTTGGCAACAGCACATCTTTGTTGGTTTTTATCTTAATAAATAAATGTTTCAAATTATTAAGTGTAATAGGCACACGGTGGTTCAAAATACCTATACTGCAGCGTTGCCAATTTTGGATTTAAATCTTTAAATATTCATACTTTGAAGCCCCTGGGGCTTAGAAATTAATTTAAAAGCAAATTTAAGCTTCTAATAACGTTTTTTATAATTTACCCCCATTTTGTTTCTCTAATATTTAGAACATATGAAAGAACGCAATGTCATCATGTGCGATGTCTTAATAGTCAAAAGGCGATTAGTTCAAATTTTGACTTTTAAAATTAACATAATAGTATACAAGGTGATTCTTTTAGGTCCTATATTAGAAACTTTTTAACTTCTAATGCAGATAGAAATTTGAAATTTTGTACACAACTCAAATCAACCAGTCTGAGTTCAACTAAATTATTTTCAAAATGGCTGAACTTCCGGAACTACGAGAAATTGGCGCCAACTTTGAAATTTTAAATGGTAACCAATTATTTTTATTGCATTTTTGAATTCTCCTCTTTAAACTAAGTAAAATGTACCTAGTTTTTAGTACTTAACTATCATAGTTTTTGACATATGTCAATTTACAAAATTTCAAATTCCTATCTGCATTAGAAGTTAAAAAGTTTCTAATGTAGGCCCTAAAAGAATCACCTTGTATACCAGGTGAATAAAAAGTATGGAACCAAGCGGTTTTTTTGTAAACTAAGCATTTTACGAAAAAAATAATTAGTGTAGCGTAAAGTACAATTAAAATGTGACCATTTATCAAAAATAACATTTTTCGAAATTTCTTTTAGTATTCGAGTTTTGTAAAAAAAAATTTTTTTTAATGGCAATCCACCATCATGAATTTTTTTATTAAAGATTATGATCTAAAAATGACCTCTAATTAAATCAAAAAATTTTTAGCCAGTATGAAACGACCAATTAGGTTGAGTTCAGAAAATCTTCGTGATGAGCTCCCAACGCAACTTTAACAATTTATTAAAAAGTACTGACTAAAAAACAATTTTATTTAATTAGAGGTCATTTTTAGATCATAACCTTTAATTAAAAAAAATATCATGGTGGGTTGCCATTTAAAAAAAAAATCTAAAACTCGAAAACTGAAAGAAATTTCGAAAAATGTTATTCTTGATATATGGTCACATTTCAATTGTACTTTACGATACACTAATTATTTTTTTCGTAAAGTGCTTAGTTTACGAAAAAAACGCTTGGTTCTATACTTTTTATTCACCTGGTATAATATAAATAGTAATTATAAAAAACTCATCTCATAAGTTAAAACCACTCATTTTTTAAACTTGAGTTAGTGCTTCAAGACTGATCTTATGAAACTTGTTTTTTATATATTATTTTATCACCATATAAGAGATTGTCCAACCCTTTTGAATCACTTTGTATTTAGTGCCAAAAAAGTGTGAATTTTTTGAATTTTTTCTGATCTAGTGACAGTTTTTTTTTATTATTATTATTTTGTCGCTCACTCTACGTTGATTACGAATTTTACCATTTTGATGTTGCATTTTTTCACAATGAATTTTTATTCAGGTATTTGAAAACGACGGAATGCCTCAAATGATTTGCAAGACTTGTCGTGCACAGGCCCTTCAATCATACACTTTCAAGACAAATTGCAAAAAAGCAGACGATGCACTAAAAGTGTTTCTAGCCACGGGGTCACTAATCCGACCTTGGAGTCAAGAAGAACTAAATGAAGTAAGTTTGTAACTCTAGTTTCATCATTTGCACAAAATATTTTTTTTTTTAATTTATAGCAAACAAAAACTTTCCAAGCAACCAAACGTGTGGTTGACCAAGCTGAAGAAAACAGAACTAAAAAAATCAAACGCGAAAATAGCGACGTAATAACACTCAACTACTCTGCAAGTTTATCTCACGACAGTACCACAGAAGAAAGTAATTTCAACGAAGAAAGTGTCGAAGGTCCTAGTTTCGCAAGCACTGAAGAAAGTGAAGAACCAAATGATCAAAGTATGGAAAATGAAGATTTCATGAATTTGGAAGAAGAATCGGTTTTAAATCCAGTTCTGAAAGTGAATCAAGTCAGAACCGATTGTTTTCCGTGTCCGCATTGCGAAAGATCGTTTCCTCTTAAACAACTCCTCGATCTTCATCAAAGTAATCATGACAGAGAGCGGAATTATAACTGCAATTCTTGCGATAAAGCTTTCTTTACGAAATACGATTTGAGCAAACATCTCCTAATCCATACTGGTAGTAAGCCGTTTACTTGCGTCGTCTGTGAAAAGACATTCGCGAGGGAATCGCTGTTACACAGACATGAGAAGATACACGTTAATGTACCGAAATATTTATGCTCGCAGTGTGATCGCACATTTCTAACTGGAGAAGATCTAGATGCCCACACGGCGAAACATAAGAAGAAGAGGCCGTTCATGTGCAAGATTTGCTCAAAAAGCTTCGTTTTCAAACAGGTAAATTTTCAGTTTTGTTTTATAAAATTTGTATTCGTTTTCAAATACACATACAGGTGTCCCAGCGAGTTGAAAAAGTCCATTAGTATCTTTAAATGGTAAAATTAAAAAAAAATTGTATAGGACATCGGTAGATACTAATAGTGCATCACCTCAAATTATTTTCCTTCGTTTTTTATCTTTGCAAATGCAACACACTAAAAAAATGTTACAACTTTATAGCTTCTACCTTCTTCGTTGCAGTAGAAAAAAAAATGTTCTAGATGTCTTAGTTTTCGTTAAAAGAAATCTTTTTCATTGTAGTATATTTAACAACAGTTTGAAGTGAAGCTCAGTTACCGATTTTACTTTCAGTTGAGTAAATAAAAATTTTTTTTCAAAAATTCACAACTCTACACCGCAACTAAACAACTAAAAATTAAATTAAAAAATAATTTTAATTAATGTTTAATTAGTTATTTATCTACTAAGATAACAAGAAAATGCTGTTTTAAATGGCATTATTTATTTTTTGATAGCTTAATTCTTTTTAATAAAGTTGCATTTGACTAATTAATAAATAATTTTATATCATTTTTATTCAATCCAAACAAATTTTGACAACAAACACATCGGCACCAGCAATACACCCTAGGCAGGGTCCAAACTCAGTCTTTACCTGCGTTCAGGGGTTGGGTTAGTAAGGGTAATAAATTGTAATAAAAGTAAAAGATCAGTTCGCTAATATTTTTATGCTTTGAGTTTGTGGAAGTTGCTCCAGAAATTTCTTAGAAAGCTAAATATTGTTTTGACTTTTGGATCTTAAAAAAAAATCTAATCATAATTATTCCTATCTACTTGATAGGTTGTACATATTTACTAATTAGAAAGCTCACAGGTTCCATTTTTAATGGAAATTAAATTTTTGTATGGAGTAACAAGACATAATTCCATAAATTAAAATTTTTACAATCGGAAAAATTACAAACTTATGCAATTGTGGACTCAAAATTTTAGACATCAAAAAATATCAACGTAAGCCACGCTTTAGTGTCATTAGGATTGACGTTTGGATCTAAAACTTGAAAGATTTAGTTGAAATTTATTTTTGGCGTCCAGCAGTTGCAGTACGTTTTTTATATAATTATTATTTTTTTATTTTGAATTCTTGTCATTTTTATTCAGCTGTCAGCATAAAAACTACAAAAATTTAAAAAAAAGTTGCACATAAATTCAGTTTTACATTTTAAGTCAACCGAATGACAAATCGTCCAAAATTCCGTGTCCGTACATCTAAATATCAAATTTTCAATGCGCACTATAAAATTCATATTCTTTGGAGGGGCATTTATGATTTTTTTTAATTTAAAAGTGTCCTTGTTTTCCATTACAATTTTTTGACATTGACCACATTTATAGGGTACCACTAACTAACATTTACAGTTATGTCTTATAAAAAAAAGATTGTGATAGACCGAATCATTTTTTATGAAGAACAACGATAAATTAAAAAATAAAAACGATCTCTTCCATATTTTTTTTTTCATAGATGCCCCGTTAAAAAATTATTTGTTTGAGACTTGGGACTTCTGGCGAGCATTTGTTTAAAAGTAATATTTTTTTTGTATACGCTCTCGAAACAAGCTGAGTCTTTGCTGGACCCAATAAAATAGTATGAAAATGGTTATATTAGGTACTCAATACCCAAAATATAGTTATTCAGAATGGATAAGTCAATTTAGTTACTATCGTGGCGAAATTTGTTTAATTAATAATATGTGCAAATTTGTTGTACAATAAATTATTTTGTCTGATTATTGTTGCTATTTATTAAAACTCTCATAGATAATAAATAATCTTAGATCCCCACAAGACACACATTTTTTTCGAAAAAAAAAATGGTCAGGTCTACTAAACTCGGGACATTCGATAGAAGTACAGTTCCAACAAAATTCACTTGTTTTTTCATTTCACGTCAAATGTTTCTGCTTCTAGTTTTCTAATAATAATAACTGAAAATTATTATGCTAATTACATGATAAAGATGACCATAATCCGTTATTTGCTTGGGTTGGTACAAGGGCAGGTATAGACCCTCGATCCTGACAGCGCCTCTAGTGGTAAAAGCAATGAACTAGAATGCATTTTTGGGCAAAATATATTTATTAATAATTTAAAAACAACAGTGTTTTATTACATGGTGTTTGTTGAATTTGTTAAGAATTAATATTTTGTAATAAATACCAAAACCCTAAAACGAATCTTTAGGTCTACCGTTAAATATCGTGACTTTTACATCAATCACAATATCTCAAAAACTAAAGACTTTTTTTAAAAAAAGGCCAACGCATCGGCCTATAGAATATTCTTTTAAATTATCTTACAAAAACCAAAATTGATTACTTGAAAAATGACTGAGTAAAGTTGTTTTCAAGTTCACCATTTATGCATTTTTGTTCTTTTTTTAAAAGCATTGATTTAAAAAAAAAAATCTCAACGTATCGGCCTGTAGATTTAAAAAACCTTTATTTTGATGTATAATACATGAAATTCTGTTGCATATTAAGAGAGTAATCTTGTTTTCAATATACTAACGTCTCGAATCGTTGGTCGCGGACACCCTTAATTTAGCAGTTAGTGATATTGGTATTGTTGGTTGCGGCAAAAAACATATCAGAAATAACCCTCTCGTAAATAAAAATGTCGAAGTTATGAGAGTTTAAATTTTGCATTTTGACTCTATTTATTTCTGTTGGAAAATAATTTTCCAAGTTTTTTTGCTACAGGCTATTAGAAGAGGAAACAAGGAAGTTGTATCCAAAATTATAACTCTGTTTAATGTTATTTGTGGCTTTTATTAGCAAAATTTTTGTCCCTTTACTAAATAATTGTAAAAAACATATACAAGATCATCAGTATTATTAAATAGACAAAAAAAAAGTCAAATGTCACAAAGTAAATGTCAAAATTTTTTGACAGATAGAATTTTTTCCATGTTCCTGGTATCTTATCTTACTTGAAATTTATTTTGTTAATAAATATGCAATTTTTGTTTATAGTTTAGTTCAGCGAGTCCAACAAAATAAAGAATATTTGGTCTTGGAATTTGTATTTAAAATTTCAAAATAAATTCAGCTCATTTTCTTCTTTCAGGGTTTAGAACGCCACGAGCAAACCCACAACACCGTCAAACCCCATAAATGCAACTACTGCGAAGCCAGTTTCACATCAGCAATCAAACTAACTCGTCACGTGACCTCCCATGCCGGTCTTCGGCCATACCCTTGCAAGGTATGCGGTCGCACATTCCTCCTCAGCCACCATTTAACTCGCCACATGCGAAGTCACTATGCCGCTCAGCAATCCGAAGCTTACATGCCATCAATAGGCCAATACAAATGCGACGTTTGCAGTATGTCATTCCGACGTAAAGACTCCTTGATCAATCACAGCGCAATCCATTCAATGGTGAATCTAAAATGCGTCATTTGCAACACCGAATTCGACAACGTGGTCAAAGTCAAAGAACACATCACGACGCATCTCTCCGACTTGCCATTTCCGTGCGAAAAATGCGACTATTCGTTCGAAACGCAAGAGCAGTTGGAAGACCACGAGTTGAAACATGCAGAAATGGAGTACGAGGAGCAGATCGAGCAGGAGGTGTTGGCGGAGGCGCGCCAAGCTGCAACAGTGAAGGATTCCAACGATGAGGAGAATTCGGATTACTCCGGGGATGATATCGCCGAATTTACCATCACCAACGACATGGATAACCCCGAAGTGGTGAGACGCTCGAAACGGGCCTCCAAAGTGAAGAATTATGCCGAGTTTTTGAAAGACGAACTGGGTTCAGATGTCGAAGAGAACACAGAAGGTCAAGAAAATGAATTGCAAGAAGAAAACACCGGTGATGAGGCCCAAAACCCGGAAGAAATGCACGAAGAAGCCATAAAACCGATCGTACGATCGGAAGGGACTAAAGTCTACTCGAGGAAAAGTCTCCCAGAGAGACCCAAACTCGTACCACAGATAAATCTAGACCAAAGTAATGTTGCACCATTGTCGAAAATAACACAACCACACACTATTAATTCACTCGAACATTTGACCAAAGATTTGAGTAAGATACCGGATAAGGAAGTGTTTAATATGAAGATTGGGGATAAGACAGTTACTGTACAAAAACTCTTGCTTACGAAAGAACAAATGAAGGCTATGGCTAAAGAAGGGAAGATTGAGAAGAAAGGGAATACGCTTTTGTTAAAGAAAACTGCGAGTCAGTCGTTTCAGAGTGTGAGTTTGGATTCGATTTTTGGGAATTCAAAGTCGGAGGTTAAAACGCCGAGGAAAAAGACGTATCAGAGGAAAGTGAGTACGGGGGGTGAGGAGAGTGGAGAAGCGACAATTACTCTAAATGAGCATTTAAATTTACCGACGGAGGAGAATAGTTCTTAAGTGTAATTTAATTAAGTGTAATTTTTTGATGTACTATATTTTTTCTTCATGCAGGTAGATAAATACTTATAAGATGTATTAGTGCACTGTACTGCTTTCTGGATTAAATATTATATGTGCCTATTTGTGTACATACCCTTTTTTAACCTTTTATCTATTGTCTACTTTTATAAAGTGGCCGCAATTAGTAATGTATTTAAAAATTTTAAAAAGCAACTTAATGTTTAAATTTTATTCACGTTCGAAGCAATGCTTACTGTGTACTTGACAGAATTATTGAAACAGTTTGACTAATTGAAATACTATTTGTTATCATTAAAATCAGTATTCTGCAACATTTGATAAACTGTAACTAATTTTGATTACAATTATAGAGTTAATCAGAAATTTTTACAAATTTGGAGATTGCAATCACAATTCTGTATTTTTAATGAAGTAAAATGGATCCTTCATTTTTTTCGTCACTAGTAACTTTGTGTTGCAACTCCTATTTAGTTTAATTTTCAGATCTTCAAAAACAAAAAAAATTGAAAATTAAAAAAAATGGCAGATATTGTTAGCACAGTACTTTAACCTTGAAGTAGTCAGGACCATCCACGTTTTGTTAAAATAACTCATCAAAATCAGTTACGCCTTTGTTTTTCAAGTGACTCGTTACGATTTGATAATAGAATTGTAGTTTGTGAAGAATGTAGTTTGAATAATTATATCAGGTGAATAAAAAGTATGGAACCAAACGTTTTTTGCTTAAACTATTTATTTTTTGAAAAAACTAATTGATGAGTGATAAAGTACTATAAAAATGTGATGATTTAACAAGAATATTTTTTTTCGAAATTACCTTTTGTTTTTGAGTTCTACAAAAAATTTAATTTTTTTAAATGGCAACTCACTATAAAATCATTTTTCTCATAAAAGCTATACTCTAAGAATTACAACAATCTGCTTTATATTTATTTAATTTTTTCAAAATTTTTTTCTCACATAAATTGCAATTTTGACAAAAAAAATCGCATAACTCAAAAACAAAACAAAATTTCGTTCTGAAAATACGATCACATTTTTTATATTACTTTAATTTATATTAATTATTATTTTCTGGAGGCAAATGATTAAAAATAAAACCGCTTGGTTCCATACTTTATATTCACCCTGTATAAAAATTGATGTTACGTGTGATGAAAAAAAAAATATAGTAAACAAATATGGTTTAATTTGTCATAATTGCAATGTACAATGTTGCAATACAAAATACCGTGCGATCAAAGAAAAAAAATTAATTAGAGTATGCGGTGATTAAAGTCCTTCAGAATCAAGTTCAGATGGCAATCCTGATTTTTGACATCAAATGTCAGCGGAAACTTTGACAAGTTTGAGTTTTATTTCTTTTGAGTGAAATAATGTTCACTTTAGAGTAGAAATTTTTTATTGCTGTACAAGACGAAAACGGTGAATGGTCATTTTCATTTTCAGTTGTGTGGAAAATTTTCAGCCTAGATTCAGCCAATGTGTTGCCAACTGTAGAATTTAATCGACGCCTACTCTAATTTATTTTTTTTTTGATCGCACGGTCCAAGGAAATAAAAACTGGATAATTTATATTTATTAGACATATTGTAGCCAAAAGCAAGACTTTAAGTGATTCTGGTGTAGTGTGATTATTGTTGAAATTCTGAACCAAAAAAATAATCATTTACTCCAGAACAAAAATTAAATTCGTATACAACTTTGTCTTGTCCTTGCTGAAGTTCCAAGTTAAAACTTTCTACAAATTTTCTCAAATAAAATCTGAGAATAATACATTTTACCTAAAACAGAATTAATTTCTATTCATAATTTAATAAATACTTGCTGTTGCGCTCAAAAATCACAAACTCGCACACTTCACTTTGCAATAAACAATAAAAATAAAAAATTCAAATGCACTGACCTTATGTGGCATCGTCTTCTGCTATCATTTGTAGCGATTCCCCTCATCTTCATAGAACGGACCTACTGAAATAAAAAAAAACACAAAATCAGTACAATGTATTTATTAAATTTGTTCAAAATGTTGAATAAAATTTAAATGTGATTAAAAAAATTGTTGACTTACCCTTTAATCCAGTTCCTTGTAGCACGATTGTCTTCTCCATTTCCCCTGAAGACTCACTAATCACTCGATTTAAAAAATCGCGCACTACTAAATGTCTATTAGGCATTCCAAAATACACAACACACACTCCCATTTCAACACAATTTCGCACTGAACCACCAAATAAGTAAAAATTTATCCTAATTCAAGTGACTCGTACGGGAGCTTGGCCAAGACTGACACGTTATTGTAATAATTTCCTCAAAAACGGCACAAAAACCATTTCATAATAGTTCCGGTGTAAAAGGCCTTTGTTCGGGGCTGCGTAACGTCACAAAGTAATTCGAATATTACCCAATTACAGCGTCACCATTTTTTGCACTCTTTACAGTTGTTTACACAACAAACTGACATGACGTCAAAATCCTTGCATCTCATTGGCTACGGGATAGTGCTTAATGCGTCCAAACACGAACAAAATTTAAGCGAATAGAAACCTTTCAAATTTCTGATTCATCCAATCATATTCGTTCAGTACATGTGCAAATTATCGATATTTGTGCTAAATTAACGAGAATTTCAGTGAATGAATTTCAAAAATTTTGGTTTCTCATAATAAAAATACTGTTTTTGTAAATTTTGTTCGGAAAATAGTCTGCAATTTAGTCGAATTTTTTGTATTTTCCAGAAATTTGCACTTTTGTTCTTAATTCCGTCTCAAATTTTCTTAGAATTTGACCAAATGACTGAAAAAAAATATGCAGAAGTGAAAATCACCTACCTACAGGGTGATTTCTGAATATCTCAGAAAAATAAACAAAAATTAGAAAACCCCGAGACAGTCAATTTTTATTTACACCTTTTAGTGTACTTTTGAAAGTTGATATTTATCGTAGAAAACTTCACCCTTTCTAAACAATTCCCATCTTGGTAAAAATATTGATCGACTACAAAACACGATCAATAATCTTCACTCTCTCTCATTTTAACCCCAATATTGCACCAAAAATTATAAATGCTCCAGAACTATGAATTTAAGAAAATCCCTACTATCCTTTGTTACTCTAATTATAAATATATCTACTGGTAAGTGCTCATCACAAAATATTTTTTTCAGTTTGAACTATTTCAGTGTTATCAATCGACTGCTTCAAATGCGTCTCCATAAACCGGGATTATCCCCCATGCGAGGACCCCTTCCACAACAACTACACCGTGGATGTTTTCGAATCACCCTGTATGGGGGGCCGAAAGGGACGCGATGGCTTATTTCCGGCCACTTCTTGTGTGAAAATAACCGGAGTTTTTGGTAAACTAAGCATTTTCCTCTGTTTTATATTTTTTTTTAATTTTAGACGACAATGGCGATACAGTTACAGTTCGAGGTTGTGCCTTAGATAGCGGCACATTGACAACCGATACAGAAATTGTCCGAATGTCACATTGTGGGGGGTTTTACTACGACAATAGATATGCAAGAGGATGTGTCCAAAGTTGCAACGATGCCGATGCTTGCAACTCCGCACGAAGATTTCGTCCATTCTATGTTTTAATCGTCATTGCGCCAGTGTTGCCTTTTATACAAAAAAAATACTAGTGGAACTTAACTGTAAATTTATTAATACTCCAAAACAGATCACGAATTGTTGCTATATTTAGGTTTAGTTTCTTGGTCTGTGACGGCTCTTATGTAGATGGCGTCTTCAGGAAGAGGATTCGGGGGGTTGTCTTCTTCCAAAAAGTATGAACAAGCAATCGCCAACACAGAACCTGTCAAAGAAATAAAAATACAGGGTGTTCCGTCTAAACCCCACTTTAGAAGTATTGGGAGTTGAAATAATCGTTTTTATTTGAAAATTGGTACATAATCATAAACCATTAAGTCCTACTAAATGAAAATATTTTCAAGATGGCGGCACTTCCGCTTATACCGGAAGTCGGTCTCAACTTTCTTATTTTAAATGGAAAGGTATATTTTTTACTGCGTTTTTATCAGCTTTCCCTATACCTAAATTTAACCGTTTTTGAAATATTTGGAGTTTTACAAAAATTTTTGGTCTGCACCTTTCACTTTAAAAATCGGTAATTCTACCATTTCTTAAAATTTTGAATTCGTTTTTTTGGCGTTTGAAAGAGAAGGCTTAGATCTTTCTTCTGGTGTTTTCAAATATTGAAAAAAAATATAATAAACCCCAAAATTTTAAGGTTACTTTTGTAATAATTTAAAAACCCATAACTCAATTTTTCCAAATGAAATACCCCAATTTTTATTTTACTAAATAGAAGAGAATTTAATTGTGCATTGATCTGTATTAACATTCCCTATACCTTAATTTAATAATTTTCAAGTTATGGACTTTTTTTTAATACTTCAGAATAGTTATTTATTTAATGAACGACATCACAAGTTTGTTACACTCTCCATAAATACAAAATAAATTAATTAAATCTAAGTTTCAGTAGCTTTGACTCTCCATATTTTGGCACTATTTGTCAATTAATAATTCATTGTCGACATTTATTGAGACACAATTTTGACATTTTTGGTTTCCATGGCAAACTATACGAAAACGGATGTGGCTAGTAATAGATTTTCGACAGCCTTAAGAAAAAGTCACCATAACTTGAAAATTATTAAATTTAGGTATAGCGAATGTTAATACAGATCGATGCAGAATTAATTTTGGAGTATTTCATTGGCAAAAATTGAGTTATGAGTATTTGAATTATTACAAAAGTAACCTTAAAATTTTATGGTTTGTTAATTTTTTCTTCAAAATTTGAAAACACCGGAAGAAAGATCTAAACTTTCTCTTTCAAACGCCAAAAAAACAAATTCATAATTTAAAAAAATAGCAGAGTTACCGATTTTTAAAGTGGAAGGGTGCAGATCCAAAATTTTTTGAAAAACACCAAATATTTCAAAAATGGCTAAATTTAGGTATAGGGGAAGCTGATGAAAACTCCCTTAAAATAACCCGATTAATCCAAAAACGCAGTAAAAAATATAGCTTCCCATTTAAAATAAGAAAGTTGAGGCCGACTTCCGGTATAACCGGAAGTGTCGCCATCTTGAAAATATTTTCATTTAGGAGGACTTAATGCATTATGGCTATGTACCAATTTTCAAACAAATATGATTATTCGAACTCCCAATACTTTTACTAGTTGGTAACACTGAATTGCCAAAACTTACCATTATGACTAAAACTAAGCGACGTGATTGACGTATGATACTGGTGGAACTGACACAACCGTTTCTTGTTAAAACCGTCCCAAATATTGACATAACCATCGGAGCCCCCCGTTGCAAAGGTATTATGTGTCGGATGAAAACTAAAAAACCATTCATTCACTTATAAATTGCTTTGATTAAATCACCTAATCGCATTGACGGGATATATTTTTTCCATCCCATCCTCCTTGATCCTGTGACACTTAAATGCGTATTTTTTCTTTTGAATCTCCGGATTGGTGTCTAGATATTCAACAGCGACCCTCCCCTCGATGCTACTCAATACAAAACCCTGTTTGTTGGGGAAACACCTAATCGCCCGTGTCTGATATTTCAAATTCGATTCGCGTTTTTGTAAAGTGTATGACATATTTCGGATGTCCCAGACGAGGATTTTGCGACCGGCTGTTCCGACGACGAGTTTCTCGCCGCAGACGCTTATTGTGTAGATTTTCTCGCCTTGGTTGTAACTGCCGCTGCAGAGGGGCGTTCGAGGGTCCCACAGTTTGATGTGATGGTCCCAACTTCCGGTCAAAATGCCGTTCACTTCGCTGCAATATTCCACGCATTTGATGGCATTTGCGTGACCGCCGACGGTGTTTTCGGTGGTGGTATTGAAGTCGAAGGATTTTAGGGTGTTGTCCAGGCCGCCGCTGTACGAGTGGACGGCGTCCTGCAAGAATTCAACGGTTTTTATCTCAACACAACTTTTGTAATTGGAAAAAGTGGCATACAGGTGTTTCGGCTAAACCCGAAATTAGAAGTATTAAAGAAATTATGTACATGATAATTATCTAAAATTTTATCTAGTCTAGTCGGTTAGCGCAATAAAAATATTTTCAAGATGGCGCCGCTACTAGTTATGCTGGAAGTGGGTCTCAATGTTGTTGTTTTAAATTGAAAGTTATGTATTTAGTTTTTCTGAGTTACTTCTCCTTCTTTCCTATACCCAAGTTGAGCCTTTTTTTAGATACAGGGTGATTCTTAAATAGACCGACAAAATTTTATCCTTGGTAGTATCAAATGAGAACATGCTGGAAAAAATATTTAAAAATTTTTTTGTTTAAACGTTCTTTAAATAAAATTTATTAAAGTTATTTTCCAAGTAAAGCGTACGCCACTGATGTGTTAGCACAGGTAGTGGTAACCATGGTATTAACGTACTTGATTATTGTAACAATTCATAAACGCCGTAAGTGGCACGGATCAAGGGGGTTTTGCCCCTAAAAGGTATAAACATAAAAAAGGGTAAAGTTTGTTTCCATTTATCCTTAGGAAGATGTAATAAAATTTTGTCGGTCTATTTAAGAATCACCCTGTATACAGGGTTATTCATAAATATGAAGCAATATTTGAACCTCAAAAATGACCTATAAAATGATGTTAATTTAAATAATCACTCGTGTCCTATCTCTACTGATAAGAATTTTACAGCCCTCGGAATGTGGGTATGGAAATTTGATTTTTTTGTAATAACTTTGGAACTAATTGACCAAATATTATAAAATTTGGAACATTTCCTTGTGACAACATACCTTTTGAACTGATAATCACGAAAACCGGATACATCCTCTCAATTTCCGGTTCCAGCAGTTGCAGGTCACATTTTCTGTGTTTTTCCATTTTTTGCTCTCTAACACCAATTTCTTATTGCCCAAATCGATAGAGTTATCAATTTCGAATAAAAAACGCATAACCTTTAATACCCCTAAAATGGACCGTTTCAAAGATATTTTAATTTAAACTGAGGACTGCACAACGCTGAAACCAAAAAGTAGGGATTTTGAATGGATGATATCCACGGTAACAAATGACCATGGTCTCACTAATCGCTGTCAGGCATCTGTCAACTTTGACATTGGACGATTATTAGACAATTAATTGAAAATATTTAATAAAAGAGTTTACCTCAGATTCCAAACTAACTTAGAATAAATCCAAATGGATTTCGTAGAATTTAATTCATAAAAAATTCACAAAAATTTACCGTCAAAGTTAGCAGATGCCTGGCAGGGATTTTTGTGACCATGGTTATTGGTTGCCGTGGATACCACTTATTCAAAATCCCTATTTTTTTTATTTCAACGATGTGCAGTCCTCAGTTTAAATTAAAATATCTTTGAAACGGTCCATTTTAAGGGTATTAAAGGTTATGCGTTTTTTATTCGAAATTGATTACTCTATCTATTTGGGCAATAAAAAATGGGTGTTAAGAGAGCAAAAAAATGGAAAAACACAGAAAATGTGACCTGCAACTGCTGGAACCGGAAATTGAGAGGATGTATCCGGTTTTCGTGATTACCAGTTCAAAGGGTATGTTGTCACAGGGAAATGTTCCAAATTTTATAATATTTGGTCAAATAGTTCCAAAGTTATTACAAAAAAATCAAATTTCCATACCCACATTCCGAGGGCTATAAAATTCTTATCAGTAGAGATAGGACACGATTTATTATTTAAATTAACATCATTTTATAGGTCATTTTTGAGGTTCAAATATTGCTTCATATTTATGAATAACCCTGTAGAACTTTTTGAAAATTCTTGGATTTGCGTCTTTCTCTTCAAAAATTGATAACTAATTTTGAACTACTACGAAATAGTATTGAGGTGAAGGTTCGGTCTTTCTTTTGGTGGATTCATACTTGAAAAAAATTAAAAAGAAGAATTCTGCTTCTCCACCATTTAGTGAAGAAAAAAATTAGGGCCTTTCATTTGGAAAAATTGAGTTATGGATATTTGAAGTTTCCCACACACAAGGTTAAATTTTGGGAGTATCATTACTTTTTCAATTATGAATATACCAAAGAAAAGATCTAACTTTTCTCTTTCATATGCCCAAATCCTAATTCAAAATAATAAAAGATGAGAGAGTTATCATTTTTAAAAAGGAAGGAGCAAATCCAAAAAAAATTAAAAAAGCTTAAATAAATATTTCGAAAACGATTAAACTTCTCTCTCTCAAGGTCATTTGAGTAATCCAAAAAAACATATTTCTATTTAAATTAACAAAGTTGGTACCCACTTCCGGTATACCGGAAAGTGTCGCCATCTTAGAGCAACCAAAATGATTTTCATTTAGTCACCTATGGAATTTTTTTACATGTAAATTTTCTGTGCCGCTTTACTCTTTTTGAATAAGGTATTTCAGTCAATAGTGACAGCCGTCAATAGAAATAAATTAACATTTGACGATAATTCGATTCAAAATTTTGAAAGCGGTATTTTTTATTTTAGATGGATATTCCATAGGCGACTAAATGAAAATCATTTTGAAACACATTGTATAAATTGTTAGAACTCCCCATTCTCCTGATGTGAGGTCTTTTCTAATACATATTTTTGTGCCAACTTAAATTAAATTAAATTTACCAGTTTTTATACCTCAGTGTGCCAATTATTTTGTTTTCACGAAAATAAATTAAACGTGTTTCTTATTTGGTCTTTTAAAAATATTTCATAATATGGTGTGTCGAAAAAAATGGAACCAAGCCTTTTCGATTTAAACTTTTTATTTTCTCAAAAAAAAAATATAATATGTACGATTTTAAAGCATAACTTTTTTCGAAATTTCTTTATGTTTTCAAAATCTATATAATACTGGGTGATTAATGTTTGCCAATGAATGACAATTACCTATAAAAGTTTTACGTTTGAATTTGAGAGTCAAAGTTGCCAAACTAGTTTTTAAATTTGACTCCAACTTGAGTATAAAAATCATAATCATTTACAGTCACCCGGTATAGTATTCAGTATTGCCAATTTAATTTTGTCGAAAAATTTAATTGAATATTGAATGCATGCTATTTACTGTTCTTAGTCATAAATTTATTTATTGCAGATCTTCGTTAACTACCAAATACCAGGTGACCAATAATGAGATATTTTGTCAAAAAAATCCAATGCTACAAACAGCCTAATAATTCTGTTGCCAACTTAAACAATAATTCGTGATCATCCGGTATTTTGCAAATAGATGGATCAAGAATTTTCAATAATTATAACACCGCTTGACAATGTGTTTTTTTTTTGTATTAATTACACAATTGATTTGAAAGCATTTGTCATTTAAATAAAATGTTTACCCATTACACACTCTTAATAAATTACTCTAGACGAGTTTCAACATTCTCTAAAATGACTCGAAAATCATTAAAACTCCTTTTTTCAATTGGCAAATTTTTAACGCTGATACCTTTTTGCACAGCGACAATTTTTCAAAAAATCTATTACTGCATTATTGTGTTAGGAAGCGCAGTTTTAGTAATTTTAACATTTATTAATAATGCTTGGTATACAGAATTTCATCATATTAAAATGACCGTCCTTATTTTAATTCAAATTAATTTGAGTATTTTCAACTTAATTACTACGTTTTCTGCTGTTTTTTGGAAAAAAGAACAGTGGCAAAAATTATTAAATAATCTTCACAGCATGGCTCTAAGAAACGGACAAATTGGACGAAATGCAACCATTGCTGTTGCTAGCATTATTATATCTGCTGTAATACTCCTATGGATTTTTTATTTTTGGGCCAATTATTTTGGTTTACACTATTATTCACGAAGATATAACGTGACCTATTTTCATTTCTTCTTGATGTTTACGTATAGCACAATCCTTAGTTTGATTCTGAGTATTATATTCGTCGAATATAATAATTTAAATAAAATTCTGTGTAAAGAACTACAACAATTGAAGTTTGGTCAAGTTGGACAAACCATTGAACAATCGTTCTGTTTTCTTAAGGATACAGTTGACATTTTTAACGACATTTTCGGATGGCCTATAGCCCTAATTATATCCTTTACAACTCTGTATCTCGTTAATAATTTTGATTACATGTTTATGGCAACTTCTGATTTACCGGAAATGATTTTTTACAGACTTCTTGCAGACACGGCTATGGTGCTTTTAATTTTTGTATGTGATTATATTTTTAAAAATCAAAATTGTTATTAGTTATGTTGTTTCAGATTAGTACAGTTTTCTTGATTTTCATGTGTGATTCGGTCGTTCAAGAAGCAGAAAAACTTCTAGCAACATCCCAGAAAATTAGAAGAATTTGTCCAAATTTGACGCCAAAGGTGGAACACGATTTAAAAAAATTGTGTAAAATAATAACAGAAAATTTTCCACAATTTTCAGTAGCTCGCTTTTTTAATATTGGCCGTAGCACTATTTTAAATATTTTAAGCACCGTTACTACTTTTTTTATAATTATGACCCAGTTTGATACAAAAAATAATGAAGACTAAGTTGTCATGAAATTATAAAGTGCTGTAATGGCCTTAGAAAAGCAAATATACAGGGTCGTCATTTCAAATGGATTTAAATTCATCGTCTGAAATGTTTTGCAAATTCAAACGACTATTCTATCTATATTAACCAATAATATAGCAGATATCTACTTTCGTATCCTAGCAACAGCAAATTCTAGCGAATTTCACTCGTGAAAATATTACTGAATATTCCACGAGTGGTTGCAGTGAATATTTTATTTATTTATTGTAGTCAAAGATTGTTTTTTTATTCGTGCTGCGCACTCATGGTGTTCATAATGACCATTCATAAAATATTTTTGACCACTCGTATTATAACTGATAAATATTGATGCAATTATCTAATAACGCCGCTTGTATTTGTATTTGATATTAATTAATTTGAAAGTACTTGTCATTTAAATAAAATGTTTACCCGCTGCACACTCTTAATAAATTACACTAATCGAGTTTCCTCATTCTCTAAAATGCCTCCAAAATCATTGAAACTCCTCTTTTCAATTGGCAAATTTTTAACAGTCATACCTTTCAGCCCCTGTACTAGATTGTCACTAATTTTATACAAAATTTATTGCTGGTTTATTGTGTTGGGCTGCACAGTTTTAACAGTTTTGACATTCATTAACAATGCTTTTTTTACAAAATATCACCACATTAAAATGACCGTCCTTATTTTAATCCAACTTAATTTGTGTATTTTTAACTTAATTACTACGTTTTCTGGAGTTTTTTGGAAAAAAGAACAGTGGCAAAAATTATTAAATAATATTAGTATGGTTCACAGAAACGGACAAATTGGACGAAATGCAACCATTGCTGTTGCTAGCATCATCGTATTTACTGTAATACTCATCTGGATTTTTTATTTTTGGGCTAATTATTTTGGTATATATCATTATTTACAAAGACATAACGTGGAATATATTCATTTCTTTTTGATCTTTACGTATAGTACAATTCTTAGTTCGATTCTAAGCATACTATTCGTGGAATATAATCATTTGAATAGAATTCTGGGTAAACAACAACTGGAGTTTGACCAAATTCAACGATCGTTCTGTTCTCTTAAAGAAACAGTTGACATTTTTAATGAGGTGTTCGGATGTCCTATAGCCCTAATTATATCGTATACAACCCTGTATCTTGTTAATAATTTTGATTTCATGTTTTTGGCTACTTCGTCTGAACCCGATATGATTTTCCACAGACTTCTTGCAGACACGGCTATGGTGCTTTTAATTTTTGTACGTGATTATATTTTTAAAAATCAAAATTGTTAGTAGTTATTCTGTTTCAGATTAGTACAGTTTTCTTGATTTTTATGTGTGATTCGGTTGTTCAAGAAGCAGAAAAACTTCTAGCAACATCACAGAAAATAAGAAGAATTTGCCCGAATTTGACGCCAAAGGTGGAACACGATTTAAAAAAATTGTGTAGAATAATAACAGAAAATTTTCCACAATTTTCAGTTGCTCGCTTCTTTAATATCAGTCGTAGCACTATTTTACATATTTTAAGTACCGTTACTACATTTTTTATAATTATGATCCAGTTTGATACAAAAAATAATGAAGAATAACTCCACGTAATAAAAATAAAAAAAAATGCTGACATTTTTCTAGTCTCATTCCCCCATAACTTGTTTTCTTTTAAATAGCAAGAGGGTCAAATTTAATATTCTGGAAAACAGCATTATTGTTAAAATCCAGTGGTGTATTTTTTTTACATTATTCATTCTAAAAAAGATGTTCAAAATGCTCTCTCTTACTTCCTGTTAATAATGAATAAGTTAAACTAAATCAATCAAACAATTCAAGCAATTTGGGCAATAATATTCTACTGTATCTATATTTTTGAGCAACTCTGTGTCATTAAGCGTATTATAATTTATATATACAGTGAGCGGCAAAATTATGGAATAATCTTGTTTATTAAAGCTGAAAATATTTTGTTTTGAAAAAACTGGTCAATTTTCTTTTTTAAAAATACAAAATTCTAAACTTGATTAAAATTGTATGTTTATTTTTTGTTGATATTATTTCACTTTTGGATGATTTTTTTTCGAAAACTATGTAATACCGTGGGATCAAAAAAAAAAAATTGAGTAGGCGTCGATTAAATTCTACAGTTGGCTGGAAATTTTCCACACAAACTAAAGTGAAAATGACCATTCACCGTTTTTTTCTTGTACAGCATTTTTGTAATAACTTGCAACAATAAAAATTTTCTGCTCTAAATTGAACATTATTTCACTCAAAATGAATAAAACGCAAACTTGTCAAAGTTTCCGCTGACATCTGACGTCAAAAATCACGATTGCCATCTGAAGGACTTTAATCACCGCCTACTCTAATATATATTTTTTTTGATCGCACGGTATTTAATATTTTGGTGTTGTCATTTCGATAATTAAAAAATTAATCGAATTGGCTCAAAAATAATTAGAAGTTTTTTTTTAGAATTTATTTACAGGCATCGCGTTTGTTTTTATAGCTATCGGAATTTGTATTCAAAACATCAATATTTTTTAAATTTATTTATTAAATCAATCAATTTAAAGATCAATTAATCAAAGTGACCTATGTATTGCCAAACATGAAACAGAAGATATAAATTATGGCAAGTACCTAACAAATATGTCTTTCCACTTTTTAAAATTTTTAATGTTGCCAACTTAATTTCTAAACCACAGGCCACTTTTATGGCAATGCATGGTATTAATAATAAAAGTTTTCTTTCCATTAATGGACTGTAGGTAGGTACACAAAAGGTATGTACAGTTACGGAATTAAAATTTCAGGCAGTATTTTTCTGTCACTTCAAAAAGTTCACTATAAACTACCTTTTACTGTCATCATGACATTCATAACTGACATTTGACAATTAAACTTTTCTGTCAGTGACGCTATTTTTTAAGTCAAAATGACATCAACATGACAAGAGTAAAAAATGAGGTTATTAATGTAAAGGTTGTTTTGTGAAAATGACAATATTGCCCCAAATTTTACCAATCATGAAAAAATCAACTTATTTTCTTGTGTGATTGTCAGATACCGACAAAATCGGAGCAGGTATCATCATTCTAGATATCTTCATTTTATAAAAATTCAACAAAATGTTGTGGAAAGAAAAGCGTTGTCAATTATGCTATTGTTATTAACAAATAAAACATACTCAAAAAAACTAACTCGAAGTGATCAGATTTTTACAAAGATTCAGTACTTACTGTAAAACAGCAATCCAAAACTGGTGCATCGTGGGCGTATTTGTGTCTCAAATTATTTGTGATAACATCGTATAGCCGCACGGTGCCATCCCAAGAACTGACAAGGAGGAACTGGTTGGTATTGGGGCCAAATTTCACAGATGAAATTGCGTCTTCCGGCGGACTTTTCAGCTTATATTCAGTTTGAGATTTCATATTTTCAGCTATTTTGCCAAATGTATTAACTGTCTGCTATTAATAAAATATCGTTTGACGAGGTTAACTGTCATAAACATAACCTCTAACATTGTTTATGGACAGACGCGGTGTGATTGGCTGATTTGAAGAACTCTCATTGGCGCAGAAAACATACTCATTTTCAAAAAATAAAAATAATTCGTTAAAAACACAGCAGTTTTCTTAATCAATGAACAGAAACTCACATAATTGATAAAAATATCGTTTATTTGCTATCAAAGTATTTAAATTTCTTCTTTCACTGTAAGGAGAAAGACGGTGATTCACTAACGGTGATATTTTCAACACTATCAGCCATTCCCTGTGAACTAAAAAAGACAAGAAATTTATGAATCAAACCTGAAGTAATACTACTTTGTTTCAGCTTCCAGGTTATCCAGACTTTTCAGCAGCTGATATCCAGGCTCAAGTATAGAAAAATTCACATCACCATCTATGGTCGAAAAATGCACCTCTGGATTTTCAACTTCTACTACATCTTCTTCCTCCACTTTAACTCTAACAGCCCTAAATGAACAAAATGTTATTTATTATCCAATTTTAATGCGAAAGAGCAATTACTCATTGATTTTATCCACCGGAGACGGTGGTCTTGGAAGTAGCAAATTATTGTAATCTTCAATCAACTGTTTACATCTATTTTCAAGTACTGAGACATATTTAATTACTCTTGATTGGTAATAATCATTTAATCCTTTTATACCACCCAATCCCATTTCAGTCAAAACTCGTTCCATAACGTGCTAAAACAACACATAAAAATGGACAACAAAACCAACAAATAGGCTTACTGGAAACCCGGAATGGTATTTTTCCTGGTCTTCTATCGCAATTTTTACGTTACATGTAATTTTTCGGTAAAATTCCTGTAAAACATCAGTCAACACATCAAGTGCACTTTGCTGACAAGCTGAAATTGGCAAAAAATATATAAAAATCGAAAATTATTCATTATTACTTTCGTATCCAATATGTGCAAAAAGAGTGGCAATTGATTTAGTTAGAATTTTATGCACAATAGTTTTGCTTAATTCATTTACTTCCACTTCCTGACCTCTGTTAAAACTCCTAAAAACACAAAAATTAGTAAAAACTGGAAACAAGCCATTCACTCACATAAAATCATCTTTAGAAAAATTTAAATTATGTCTGATTGTGAGATTCTCGCTGAGATCAAACTCTGGCAACTGAAAATCAACTTTTTTTGCATTTAGTGTAATTTCATTTTGTTTAATCGTTTTAGAAATATTATTTGCTTGCTGGTGTAAAGTAATAGAGTAGAGTATCAATGGGTTCAAAGGGGGCACCCTACAACTTCCATAATATAAAAATGTTGTTAAAAAAGGGCATTTTATACGTGATTTTTTGGGTCTTGACTCTGTTTTCATTCTCTTCTAAATTGTTGAGGAAAAATTTATTCATAGACAGTTCAATATCGGCCGTTACATCGGGCACTTGTTCCCGTTTACGTTCCATTCGTTTTTCTTCCCAGTATTTCACTCGTTCCATTTTTTTGATAAAAAAAAACAAATTTTTGAAACTAACTTGTTCTAGACCTAACCTCTAACTCAAGGCGTAAACATAAAAAAAATAGATTGCCGGTTGTCGAATAATCGAAAAAAATGTTCTATTTCGTTTTGTAACCTTATTTTGATTGAATGGCATTAATTGTGTCCAAAACTGCACTAAGAAGTGCAAAATGAAACGGAAGCAGTAATTTTTCAAGGATTGACTGACGAGTAATCTATTTTGTGTATGTCTGTGACACTCAAGTGAGGTTATGTTACCATGGGTCGTGTCAAATCCGATCAAAAGCAGAAAAGTTGGAGCGAAATTAATAAAACCCGGAAGGAAGAGAAACGAAAATGGAAGGAACAAAATCTTGTCAGGAAAATGGAGAAACAGAAAGTGAAAGAAGCCCCAAAATTGGAGCAAAACAATGGGCGACAAGAGGAGCCCCCCACCGTTTCAATTGCAGTCCCTGGGTCGATTCTCGAAACGGCTCAATCGCCAGAACTACGTGCATATCTATCAGGGCAAATAGCCCGAGCGGCTTGCATTTTCCAAGTTGATGAAATTGTAGTTTTTGACGATTTTGGTGATGAAGCAACTGCGAAAAAGGCAGAATTGGAAGACAACTACGGACTGAAAACAATGCGGGAGAGTTGTGTACAATTGGGGAGAATTTTGCAGTACATGGAGTGCCCCCAGTACCTCAGGAAGCATTTTTTCCCAATCCACAATCATCTGAAATTTTGTGGAATTTTGAACCCACTTAATGCACCACATCATTTGAGCAAAGATGAAGAGTTTGAGTATAGAGAAGGCGTGGTTTTGAACAAGCCGGTGAAGCCTGGACGGGGCTCAATCGTGAATGTGGGGCTACTCAAAGAAGTACATGTTGATAAATTACTAACACCCGGGATCAGATGTACTGTTAAATTATTACCACAACAGGAATCTAGTAAAAAATTGAAAGGAGTAGTTGTGGCACCCTCGATTCCCAAAATCGAAACGGGTGTTTATTGGGGGTACACAATTAGGCTAGCTAATTCCCTATCAAAAGTCTTTTCACAATCTCCATATAAGGATGGGTGAGTGACTGAAATTAAAATAAAAGTTTTTAAATCGCTTGCTTTCAGTTATGATCTAACTATAGGCACTTCAGATAAAGGAACCTCAATTGATGAATTTCAATGCCCCACTTTTAAACATGCCATAATAGTTTTTGGGGGGGTTCAAGGACTAGAAACGGCATTAGAGAGTGACAATGTTCTAAATGTGGATGATCCAAAATTTATTTTTGATCATTATTTAAACACTTTACCCAATCAAGGATCCAAAACAATTAGGACTGAAGAAGCTGTTTTAGTGACCTTATCGGCCTTAAGGCCCAAATTTAATTACATTGTTTCTTGTGCTGAATAAATGACAATTCAATTTTATACCAGTTTTTCTCTGATAACAAAGGAATTGATTATAAACCTACGAGTAAGAAAGAGCTTTTATGAAATGAGAAAAAACGTCATGTGACCACTTTGATTTATTCCATACATTTTACATTGGCAAAGAAGATACTTTTTTTATTAATGCCATGCTATGTAAACTTAAAAAGTGCTTTTTTTTACTTGTTTATAAAAAATTCTAACCTGCATTTGTACCAACCCCCGAAATTAGTCAGTAATACCAACAAATAGTGACAATCATAATTAAAATTATACTCAAAAAAACTCTGACGTTGGCCTCCAACCATATTTTATGCGATTTTTAAACAACCTCGAACATGAATTGTAATTAAAACACGGGTTTATATCATTTGTTTTGTTGCAAACTTAATTAACTTCTGGGAACTTTTGTTTTGTAAGGTTTCCGGCTCTGCGACAACGCCGTAAGTTTGCTCTTAGGTGGCCTCGATTTTCAACTTTTAAATTAACGGTTTTTTCAAAGAGGGAAGATCGTTGCGGTTTCAGTTAAGAAAATTTCAGTGAAAAGATCCGAGAAAATGTTTTTCGATTTGATTTTGCTAAATCGCCAACATAGGGGCCGCTTTGGACTTGCGTGGCTGGCCGCGACGCGAGGCGTCAGACACTTAACCAAAAGAGATGTTTTAGAAGTGGACTTGACAAAATTATGGTAATTTAACCACAATTTGTAGTCATGATTGACTTTATTAATTGCAGTGACGATATAATGGAGTTTGTGTGCTCCGAGTCCGACTCTCCTAATGCGCGATTTTCGCTTCGTCTTTCGACACTGCTGGTCAATGGGACGCTGAAAATTTACAGACAAAAGGCAGTGTTTCTAATTGGTGAGTGTTTTTGTAACCCCATTTGACCGGATTTCCTAATTTGGAAATTTCAGATGAAGTAGTCAAAGTTTTATCAACTGTGTCGATGCCAATGCTTCCACTTCCACAACTGGAACGGACAGGTATGCAATTTTACATTTAAAATCGGTTTTTTAACGGAAAGACAAAATTTTGGTGGGACAGCTTGTGGCAGCTTATTTCTATGTTCGTTCTCTGCTTTTGTCGTGCAAATTTTATATGAAAGTATATTTTTTGTTGGAATATTCGAAAGTTTTGTTTTTCTGCTCTCTGAAAGCGTTATTTTTGAATGTCTCCGTCTAAAGCTAAAGACAGAATTTAATGCTGAATATATAAAATCAAGTAGCACAATTTTTCTGTCATTAAATTTTCGATTCTTGCCCCATATCTTGATTGCACCATGAACTAAAATTGGCGGCAAATTTAAATGCATTTGCTCGATTTTAATTTGCAATTTAAACACAAATAATCGAAATCGGTTACAATAGACTTATTGTAATCGATTTTATTGAACAATTTACGTCTAAATTGTCTTATTATTATTATTTTAACAAAGTTAAGATATTAGAACACATTTTACACTTACAATTGCGGAATTAAAATTTAGGGCAATATTGTCACTTTCACAATGTAAACTTTAAAACAGCCTTTACATTAATAACCTCATTTTTTACTTTTGTCATGTTAATGTCATTTTGACTTAAAAAAATAGCGTCACTGACAGAAAAGTTTAATTGTCAAATGTCAGTCATGAATGTCATGATGACAGTAAAAGGTAGTTTACAGTGAACTTTTTGAAGTGACAAAAAATACTGCCCGAAATTTTAATTCCGTAACTGTACATTACGAGTAGTGTTTAGTATTCCTTCATAAATATTCAAGTTATCTTTATAATTCTTAAATCGAAGAAAAACAGTTTTCTATCGAATTAAAGATTATTTAAAACTTTTTCATTGAAGTTGTAAAGATTTGTTTTTATTTTTGGTGAACGATAAATCTTTATTAGAATACCCTGTATCAGTTATGTTTCGCCGTTATTTTGTACGATTTTTTTTTGTTATAAAAAACATATGATTTCGATTTAAGTAGTTTTTTCGCAATTATTAAGTACTTTTTCAAAACCCTTTTCTCAATGTCGTGCATCCAAACACCCTTATTTAATTGTTCTTTTCCTTATTATTGTATAGTTTTGTTAATTTATTAGTAAAAATTAGGACACGTTTATTTTGTAACTTATTTCACAGTTTTTATTTCCCGATTTCCAAAAACTGTTACTTAGTACTGAATTTTTTTCTGCTAATTTTATGCCTTTATCTACAAATTTTCGTATTATGTTATAAACGCTTTTTTGCTGTTTAGTGACTTTTTTCAAAATATAGTTATTTATGCATTAAAGGAATAAACAACGCGACCGAAAGGAGACGAGGGCATTTTTATTCGAGGATGTTTATTTCAGAGATGCACACAAAACTTGTTTCCCAACAAATTAAAGTAATAATAACAATGACATAAGAAAATAATTTGTCAGAGTATTCAGTTTGTTTAGTTGCAATTTTAAGAGTAAAAATCGGTATCAAGGAGCTTATTTCTGTCAAAAAACACTCAAAAGTTACAATTCATTCAATTCCAGTTTATTTTAAAATCGCTGTTTTATTTATTTAATTTCCATTCCCATGGGAATAAAGTACCAGATTATTAGTCAAAAATGAGTGAACAAAGCGTAACTTTATTCCCTGTTAGGAGGAAAACCGAAAATCCGAACTTTCCTTGCCAGTGTTTGAAATTTTCGTTTAAAAAAATTGCAAATTAAATGATGAATTTGACCCATTTTCTCCAAGGGATTAGATGAAATTGAAAGGGTTGGGGAAGTCACTTTGTTATCTTTATCCCCTTCAATTATTGAAATTAGGTTTGTTTTTCTAAATTAGGCGGAGTATTTGAAAGTCAGCCAACTCCTATTCCGAGGAAAAAAGGAACAAAAAGGCGCCGTTCTGGTGAGGAGAGCACTCCTCAAAGTGAAATTGAAAAATTCGTGGCCCAGCTTCTAGGCGAGGAAAAAGGCCAAGTCGAGCTTGCATTGCCATCCGTGGAGGAAGAATTAGGGGTTTTCCAAGCACGTGCTGATGAAATCACTTTGAGAGAAACCCAGATTCAACCACGATCACAAGAGGTTGCATTTTTAGGTTTTCTCCTTTTCGAATTAAATCAAATTAATTTTAGCTTATTTTCGAGGAAGATCTTGGGATTTTAGGGGTTGCACCAACTGAAGTAGAGGGATTGCGCGATGTTGCACAGTAGGTTTTTAAAATGAAACTATTTTTAATCAGAAATTATCGCTTTTATGAATTGTTCAGTCCAGCCAAAGAACTTTTTCCGCCACTACCCGGCGAAGAAGTGCAAGAACCAGAAATGGTACCTTTGGTTCCACACGAAGAACCTCCAGCACCTAGAGAAAAACGCCGTCGAAGACTTTCTTCAAGTCCCCCATCCGAACCGGAAACAGGACCTATAGTATTGACCGTGCAAGCTATGGTTCACCAATCTGCAGGTGTTGAAGCGGAAGCGGAACCAAGACGCAGACCAAGTCCTGTGGTTATTCAACCTCCTGAAGAAATCATTAGCGAAGTACAAGTTCCAGCTGAAATCGCGGTCCCGAAAAGGCGTTCTCTGAAAGAATTGCAAAGGGATGTTGTCGAAGAAAGGGATGCCAAAATTCAGGTATTTCTAAAATCCACCAATCAAACATTTTTATTTCAATATTTTGCAGCCACCAAAGGATAGAAAAAAGAAGAAAATGGATAAAAATAATATTCTCTCTATACCAAAACCTACGAGATTCGTGACAATTGAGCGTCCTGAAGTGAGAATTTCTTTTCTGTTAACACAGTCAATTTATTATTTATCATTTTTTAATCTCATTGTTTTCGACTTTCGTAAATATGAGATATGTTATAGAACGATGATACGTATTTTACCTTTTTTCAATGTAGTTATATTAAAAAACAGGGATATACAGGGATCTTAAGAACAGATCAAAATATTGAAATGATTTTTTTTAAACAATTGATATAAATAGGTACTTTACGGACGTGTAATGCATGTATTCCAAGAGCTTATTATTAATTAACCAATAATTTAAAAAAATCGTTTAAACAAAAAAAAATAATAATTATGCAGGTTTTTAGAATTCTCAAAAAATTTATGTAAAAGTTCTCAGATTTTTACTGTGTCCTTATTTATTATTTTTGGGAGGGATGGAAAGTGCATATCTGTACCTCAGAGCAAAATAGTATTAACTCCAGTTTTTCCTGTTTTTGAATATTATGAATTTTAAAATATTAAATAATTCTTGATGTTAAATTTGCACGTTGATGAAGGTTTATTTTATGGTAAATCTGGCAACTACTTGTACCTACCTTGAGAAAATCAAGAGTTTCCATGGAATAATTCAATTCTTGAATTCATTGTTACCTTTAAACGTTGCCGCATCGATTTTTGCATACTTATCGATAATTTAGAAGAGGTAAATCGCATTGAATGTTAAAGACCACAGACATTGCGTTAAAGATCATTAATCTACCTTCCATTCTGCATATTTCAATTGCATTTTGAGTGTTATTTAGTAATAATAAGTACAGTTGGAGCAAAATACTTTAGACGTCAATGTGACTTGAGTGACACTAAATGGTAAAGCATGCTTTAGGACTTTTAGCTACTGTCAAGTTGTATGTACATATTTTTGATAGGAAAATATAATAACTGTTATTAATTTGAAATTGTCATTCATTTTAACGTTAAAGCTTGAATTACATTAAAGTGTCAGAAAAGTGACGACCAAAATATTTTGTCTCCAACTGTACAACTAACAACGTTTGAAGATTCTTACACAAAACCCCCACTGTGCAGAAAAATAAAAACCAAGATTATTATAAATATTTTTCCACACTCACCAAATGTCTCTAGACACCGTACCATAGTTTTAGTGCGGCATTTTTTAAACACCCTGTATAGTATATCCCCGGAATGAGTTTGCAAGAGGGAAAAATTTTTTGTCTTTGATTTTACGCCAAAACTTAAAAGGAATAACATTTTTTGCTTTATCTGAAACGAGCAAATCTGTAATTAAAGCTTCATTATTGATTTCAATAGAAAGAAAAATTTTTTTTTCTTGATTTTGGACTCTTGTATTATGTTTTCTAAGTCCCGTCACATTGGCGTTTTTATTTTTTTTTGACACTTTGACAATTATTTAATTAATTGAATAATGATTGTTGTTTGTTTTTTAGCTTAAAGCTGTTTCTTTGGTTTGCCATTTATTAAAATTATGTTTTTCACAAACGTTTTTGTTATTTAACTTGCGTAAACTCATTTGTTAAAGTGACATCGTTGTCAGAAAAATATAGCCGCCAATGTCATGAAATTTAAAATGCAGAAAAAAAATTAAAAAAGTCTAAAATCAAGAGAAAAATGACCTTTTCCTCCAAAGAGACAGAAGTTTTATTTTTTTAATGATTGGTTTTCAGAAAATAATAATTAATAAAAATTATAGAGCTATGAAAATGTGACCGTATTTTGAGATAAAATTTTGTTTTGTTTTTGACTTACGCGATTTTCTTTTTTCAAAATAGCAACTTATATTAAAATTTTTTCGATAAAAATTGAATGAAATGAATTTTTTAAACATTTTTCTCATGTTCCTGGTATCTAACTTTACTTGAGAATTTTCGCTGGGGCGCGAGTTCTGGCGCACTCTGTATTACCGTATATGGCATTTTTCTCTGGGGCGTGAGTTCTGGCGCAGCCCTGTACAAAGAGTACTTACTCCTCGTCTACCGAGGAATTTGTTTTTAAATATTTACTTTTGAAAAATAAGAAATGTTAATAAATTATTGAAATTATTATTATCGAGGCCTATTAATTAGTGTTTTATTTAGAAGAATTTATTAATGCCGGTAATTGGTATTTTTTTATTAAATTTCCATGTAAACACTACTTTTAGAAAATTTCAAAAAAAATTTTCAGTCATTTTTGAAACGTCCGTCCTGAAACTTGTATGAGGACGTGGTAAAAGTATGAATGAGTTTTTTGAGAATCTTAAAAACCTGCGTAATTGTTTATTGTTTTGTTTAAACAACATATTTTCAAATTATTTGTTAAAAACAAGCCTTTAGAAAACAAGCATTATCACGTTTGTATTATTAAAAAAAAAATCAATTTGTTGATTTGTTCTTAAGATAATTTTTTTTACGAAAATCGGAAACAATGAGTTTTAAAAGTGATCGTTTTAGCATGGCAATCATCTACATATTTTGTTTTCAGACGGGAGATTTTGAACCTCCTGAACCCCCATTCCAAACAAGAAAAGAGTTTAATTTAACGAAACTTTTAAACCTTTATGTAGTAATCGGCGAACAAGGAGAAATTGTTCGGACAGCAACAACTCCTCGCGATTCTACACCCTTGCAGAAAAAATCAATTGGTGAAACACCACCAGCGCAAATTTCGGCCATTGCGCGTACTATTCCTCCAATCTTGGAGGAACACTTCGAACAAATGACGATCGTTGAAACTCCGCAGCAACCAATGGAAACTGCTTTGGCACCTCCTCAACCGATATTAACGTCGACGCCGGTCGTAGCAAAGTCGTCGCTACTCGAAATGTACAGTGTAGAGAAAAAAAACCCGAGAGAGCGATATACAGGGTGTTGGGTAAAAAAACCGCATGTGAATTGTTTATTAAATGCGGTATTTTTAACAAACACGCTGTATACACCACCTAGCGATCATCTAAGATCATATTCACACTTCTATATTTAATTGAGTTAAATAATAAAAAAATAAAGTCTTAGATGATCAGTAGGTCTGGTCCATTTTGAGCGTAACAAAACTCAGTTCTTACTTTAGAGAGCAAACTATTGAACAAGTGATGGCTGTAGCGGCCGAAGATCAGTTGGTATCGCCGCGCAAACGTCGCAGACTGTGAGTTAAATTCAAGCTTAATCAAAATTTTGCATTTTTCTATTGGTAGTATTGACGTGGAGCCGACGGTTTTGAAAGATCTCGCTTATATAACGTTGCCGAGTGAATTGCAGTCACGTGAATTAACCGGTTCGGTTTTAACGCTTCAACAAGAGGCTATCGAATCGGTTGTTTTACCGGTTACAACCGTCGAAGGTCGTCACCAAGATATCGTAAACAAAGTTCTGGTTAGCGGACGATTGACGCTCGAAGAGTTATGTCAACAACCTGTCAATAGATTACATATCGCACGTGCTTTTAGTGATGTTCTCGGTGGGTTTATTTTGGATTTTTTTTTAGAAATTACGGTTTTGTTTCTCTCTAGTTTTGTCTAGACACGGTTACGTGACATTGACGAGCGAAGAGACGTCGACGGAGCTTAAATTTGTTGAAAGAGGACCGAAAATGAAATGATTCGCTGAATTTTAAACACGGGAAACGGTTTTCATTAATTTATTTTTTTGTAGGTTAAGATTTAAATATTCAGATGTTCATTTATTTGTGTTATGTTCGGTTGTTTGTAGTTCAAAGTTTATAAACATTTTCTCTTAACACATCTTTTTTTTTTTAATAAGTTAGTAAAATATCGTTAGATTTTTTAAATAACAACCTACAATGAAACTTTTTTTGACAAAGGCTATGATTGAAGAAATGAAGAATTACACCTAAATAGAATTCATTAAAAAACTACATTTTTACCAACGATTACATTTTTCATAGTGCTGTCTGTTCTTTCACACATTATAAATAATACAGGGTGTTTCAGGACTCGCTCCCCAGAGAAAAATTCCATGTAAGATAAGATACCAGAAATGTGTAAAAAATGTTTAAAAAATTTTGACATTTATTTTTTGACATTTGACATTTTTATATCTATAGATTTTTGTAACATTTTTTTAATGTCCCTGGTATCTTACCTTACATAGCATTTTTCTCCGGGGCGCGAGTTCTGAAACATTCTGTATATGGTTTACCCAAAAAACTTGGTTCCATACTTTTTATTCACTTTGTGTATTTTTCAAATATCTTTTTAATGCAATAACTATCGATTTTTAAAAAATGGCTCGGTTTCTAGATCGCCTTCAAAATTAAATAAATAGTCCGTAAAGAAGAGTTTTTTGGCCTCATATTGATAAAATAGTGCGAAAAAATTGACAAAATAGTCTGCAATGTTGGTTGCATAGTATTTAAAACGTTAGTGTATTAAAAAAGGTAGTGCCTCCGCTGCTGGCACAGAATTTTTAGGTTTTACAGCTAATTTCACTTTTTTAAAATTTTATTAGCTGTATTTTTGCAGTTTAAAATAGTTTTTTTAAATAATACCAATAATAGTTTTTGAAGAACTAACCCCAGAGGTCATCAGCGACAAAAAAGTTATATTTAGAATTTAGTATAGTTTCTGATAGAATATTTAGTATTTACATTCACAGAACGTAAATTAAATTATTTTTGCTTCTTCTGATTGCTGTTCTCTTAAAATTTCTACTCGGCTATGCCTCGTCAACTATTCATAAAAAGTGCCAAAAGTGGAACTAAAAATATGAAAAACCACAACTTTAAGCCTGAAAATTTAAAACAATGAAAAATTATTGTAAAAATTGGTTCAAAACATCTAAACCGAACATATGAAAATTTTGAAAAAATGTAATTTTAAAACTACTTATGTTTATTAAAATTCTGGATTCATTTTAATTGCTTCAAAAAATCGAAGAAATAAATTGTAAGAAAAAGTACAGGCTGCGCCAGAACTCGCGCCCCAGAGCAAAATGCCATATAAGGTAAGATACCAGGAACATGGAAAAAATGTTAAAAAAATTTTATCTATAAAAATTTTGAAATTATGAGGGTTTAAAGTTTGCACTTTGACTCTATTTATTTTTGCTGGAAAAATAATTTTCCAAGTTTTTTTGCTATAGGCTATTAAAAGAGGAAACAAAGAAGGTGTAACCCAAATTGTAACTCTGTTCAATGTTATTTGTGGCTTTTATTGGCAAAATTTTTGTGCCTTTACTAAATGATTGTAAAAAAACATATACAAGATCATCAGTATCCTTAAATAGATATAAAAAAATGTCAAATGTCAAAATTTTTTGACAGATGGACTTTTTTAAACATTTTTTTCATGTTCCTGGTATCTTACCTAACTTGAAAATTTTCTCTGGGGTGCGAGTTCTGGCGCACCCTGTATGAGAAAAACAGATTAAAAGGATAATTAATAGTTAGTTATTAAGAGTGTGACCTCATCATAATGTGGATATGCATTATGTAATTTTAACATTCCAATAATTGCGCTGTAATTGCAGACAGATCATGTTTTTAAGGTGACCTTTACACAATTGGTCCAATAACGCGCAGTTTACCCCAACAATGATTTATTATTAAAATTTATAATAAAAAATACAAATAAAGTAGATGTACAAATCAAACCTAACTTTAACAATAACAACCTTATTACCCTCCAGTGTAGAGAAAAAAAATGCTTGAATCACAAAGTGGCAGCCTTAAACGTTACATTTATGAATTGAGCTTTCAACAGTTTCTCTTAAACTAGCTATAACCGCTTTTTGGTCATTTGCGTTGATTATTGCAGTTCCTGATACTATCATATTAGCCCCAGCCTGAAAAACCACTTATCAAAATAAAAAACGAGCAAAAACTCCATTCGTACCTCTGCGCAAGCAGTGATTGTATTGAGTCCCACGCCCCCATCAACTTCAATATCCAGTCCAGGGTAGTTATGTCTCAACCATTGTACTTTAGGCATCATATCGTTCATGAACTTTTGGCCCCCAAATCCAGGCTCAACCGTCATTATTAGAATCATATCAGCGTGGTCAATATATTGGCGCACTGCTTCAATTCCAGTCCCTGGCTTCAAGGCAAGCCCCACTTGCATGCCGGCCTCACGAATTTTCCGACAAAGGGGGATAACGTCTTTCACAGGCTCTATGTGGAATGTGTATTGGTTCACGCCGGCATCCGCCATCGGTTCCACCCACTGAAAATCAAAATTAACTCATTTTGTAATCAATTTTTGATTACTTACTTTAGCCGGCTCCGAGACCATCATGTGAGTTTCAAAAAACGCATTTCGTATTTTGTTTCTTAGACACTTTACCACCGGGTGTCCGATTGTTAGGTTAGGAACAAAGTGGCCGTCCATTACATCCAAGTGTAAATAATCGGCACCGTTGTCTAAAAGGCGCTGAGATTCGACGTATAACTGGGATAAATCGGCGTTTAAAATTGATGGTCCTATTTTGCATTTTAATGATTTTGTATGCACAGCCATTTTTTGTAAAATTTTAAGCAAAATTGACAATTTGAAATTATTTATTGCCAACATAAAAATCGTAAATTAACAAACAGGTAACCGTTCAGTGGCTGTTTTCACCTAAACGTGAATTGTGGGTTGCCTGGTTCACACAACTTTTATTTTCTACCACGTTTGCAAACCTGTATTGTAAGGAAAATAAAATACAAGTAAATTTAAAAAACTGTATTAAAAGTAGAGCTATGGAACATTAAAAAAACGGTACTTTAAAAATAAAAATAAGTTTAATATTCTGCAGTCACAGCTTCTGGCACTGTGTGAATAATAACTTTCCTTGAAGCGTCATAAACGAAATTATTGTTTTCAAAAATCCGGCTTTGATAGAACGGTTTCAAGTCATGAATATCCAGTTGTTTGGCCTAAAAACAAGAAAATGATCAGTATTCAATAAAAAATTGTAGCCCAGTCAAATTAGACAAAAATAGGGCGATCGGTGGAATTTTTTTTAAAACGCTTTCTTTATTCTTGGGTAGACATATACCAAAAGTCCCTGAAGGTGGGTGGGCGAGCTCGAGGAGGGGGAGGGGCTAAAGGTGTCTTTTTTTGGTTTTTTGCTTATATCACGTTTCCGTAAACTATTACTCCTAACGGTTTTTGCCTGCTTACCAAAATTAAAGCCTACAAAATTTCCTACAAAAATGGTCCTTTGCATTTTTGTTGTAGGAGTAACTGTAAGCGAGTTATAGGGCTGACAAAAAACATCATTTAAAACAATGTGCTTTATCCGCATTTAAAACTGAATTAATCTTGTGATTTGTGATATAAAATGGGAAAAAGCCCGTTCACAAAACCATTCCATAGGCTTAGGTACTCTATAAAGCTAGATAATTACCTATGTTATGTATAGGATTCAGTTATAGTAGTTTCGTTCTTCGCATGGGCTACGTTTATGGATAAATATTAAATGCTGATTTTCATACAGTGACGTCTCAGTGTACTTCTGCACTCTCAAAATTCGAAATTTCATGTTTCTAATTTTGTTTTAAACTCTATTTTATTTCATTAAAAATTGAAAAGTGCACTTCTACACTCTCTAAGGATCATATTTTCAAATAATGTTTTTATATCCCTTTAAATGTGTACACCGTTTTATTCCCTTAAAAACTAATTTTGGAAAAATCTGATTTTAGTGCCCCTTTACACCTCTAAAAAATTTATGTTTATATCTTTGTTTAAACATTTACACCCCATTTAACCCCCTTACAGATTGATTCTCTCTTTCATCCAAAATTTTTATTTATATCTCCGTTTAAATGTTTACACCCGGGTCACCTTTCAGGCAGAGCAGCTTAGTTAGGGAACGCTCTACACATACCAGGTGAATAAAAAGTATGGAACCAAACTATTTATTTTTTGAAAAAACTAATTGATGAGTGATAAAGTACTTTAAAAATGTGATGATTTAACAAGAATAAAATTTTTCGAAATTTCCTTTTGTTTTTGAGTTCTACGAAAAAATATATTTTTTTAAATGGCAACCCACTATAAAATCATTTTTCTCATAAAAGCTATACTCTAAGGATTACAACTATCTGCTTTATATTTAATTTTTTCAAAAAAAATTTTTCACATAAATTGCAATTTTGACAAAAAAAATCGCATAACTCAAAAACAAAACAAAATTTCGTTCTGAAAATACGATCACATTTTTTATATTATTTAAATTTATATGAATTATTATTTTCTGGAGGCAAAAAACAAAACCGCTTGGTTCCATACTTTATATTCACCCTGTATAAATACTTACCATATACTAATGAAATGTGTTTCAAAGGATTTTTAATGCAATTTTATGTAGACTCCAAACTTTTGAAGCCTACGGTTAGTCCTACGACAAAAATGAATAGGACCATTTTTGTAAAAAATTTTGATGCAGAAATAGCCTTCTACAGAAAATTCTACATAAATTACATAAACGATGAGTTTATGTGACTCCCCCTTCCTTTAATGAAGTATTGGACCCAAAAAATTCAATTAACTGTCAGTTTTTTTTTAATTACAAGACTAATTCTGTTTTAAAGCACATTTTTTAAATGATGTTAAAAATGCAAAGGACTATTTTTGTAGGAAATTTTGTAAGCTTTAATTTTGCGAAGATAAAAACCTATGGGAGTGATAATTTCCGAGATATAAGCAAAAAACCAAAAAAAGACACCTTTAACCCCCTCCCCCTCCGCGAGCTCGCCCCCCACCTTCGGGGACTTTTGATATATGTCTACCCAAGTGTATAGAAAGGGCTTAAAAAACCCAACTCTCTAGAATTTTTTTCCACCGATTTGTCTAATTTGAGTGGGGTATTAGGAAAATTTAATACTTTATCCTTCAAATCCTTTTCATCGATTTCAATCACAAGAGCATGAGATTCATCAGTTCCTCGTAAAAATGTCAACTGGTCTTGTGCCAACTGTCTCAAAATATAAAACAGTAATTCGCTATGGTCCTTCTTGAAGACGAGATATCGTTGGAAAATTTGTCTCATCGATTTCATCACACTGTATTTCTGTGTCTCGACAAAGCTTTCCAACATCATCCTAATGGCCATATTGACATCCTCCTCTTGCACGTACTCGCGTAAATGCATGCGGGCATGAGCCTCGGCCATACGAATTATGCTTTCAATATGGCGAACCGTAATAGGCAAACTACCAGTAGCCTACAATCTGAGTTAAATACACAATTTTGTCTACATTTTTAGTTATTACCAAAGATTCTTGTCTCAGCTGACTGTAAATATTAGCGATTTTGTCCTGGTCCATGTTTTGCAATTTCGGGTGGATGTTTTCACGTGCATAGACCAAGTATTTGCGTAACATTTCCTGAGGAATGGTTAGGTCATTATCGCTGTCTTCGATTTCTAAAGTCTCGCCTTTTTTCGACGGATGGTGTCGGATGTGCGAATTGACCACGAATTTCGCCAAATGTTGGTCTTGGATCGGATCAATCTCGTCCCTCACCACACACATGATGTCAAAACGTGACAAAATTGGGTCTGAGAGGTTCACATTTTCGGCGAAAGTCATACTGGCGTCATAGCGGCCTCCGATTGGATTCGCCGCCGCTATGACCGAACATCGGGCTTGCAGACTTGTCACTATACCGGCCTTTGATATGGAAATTGATTGTTGCTCCATCGCTTCATGGATTGAAGTCCGGTCCTGGTCATTCATCTGCAAGATTTCAATGCCTTTATTGTTAAAAGTATGAATGCAATTTTATGTCTTATTGTTATACCAGGCCCAAAAACAAATTTTCAAAATACGGCCCTGGAATATGGAATTATTCACATGTACGCATACTTTTTGGCAATCCCCTGTATATTTGAGCAAAAAATGACGTTCGTGTTTTCAGTAATAAAGACCCAATCTTTCTGATGCAATCTTTCAATGCAACACACTGTGTAATATACAGGGTGAGACGAAAAATACTGGCTTTATTATTGAAAGTATGAATGAAACTTCTTGCCTTATAAATACCAGGACATAAATAAATAGGAAAAGTAATGATTTTTCTAGAATTTAGTTGTTTGAATTTGGCTCTATAATTATGACATTTGACATACTGATTTGTCAAAATTATTTACTTGCATTCAAATTACAACACTTCTGGGAAGTTTACACTAGAAAAAAACACTTTTCTATTTATTTATATGTACACCAGTGTTGCCAGATTAAAAACATAAAATTCACCAGATCCGAGCTGAAAAATTCGCCAAATTTTCACCTGATTGCAATTTGTATGGCCAAATCTCGCGAAAAAACGCAGTTTTCAGCTTAAAAATTTGGCAAAACTTTTGAAAAAAAGCAAAAATGACACGCTTTTCGGCCTAATTTTGTGGTTATCGGCTTGTTTTACACAAAATTTTTCCAAATAATTGCGTTTATAGTTGGAAAACTAAAACAATCGAAAAATATAGCGAAAAACCCGAGATTTTAGTACAAAAACGTCCTTAAAAGCAGTTTATTTTTGTCTTAATTTTGTTCAAAGACCAGGTACATCGAGTGAAACAAACAAAATAACATCAATATCAATCCTTTTTGTGATTTTTAGGCGTGTTTGGACAAGATTTTGCAAGATAAATAAAGCTCTGGTTTAAAAACGAACTAAGATGATATCAATTACAATTTAATTTTGTAATTTTTTAGCCTGTTTCAATGCAATATTTCGAACTTTTTGTGTTTTTAGTTTTCAAAAACATTCTTAAACACTCGAAAAAACAAAAAAATGCCGGTTATGGCTACTTTGTTGAATTTTTGGCTTGTTTTTGTCAAAATTGTGCAAAATAATTGTTTCTTGCAGAAATAGCATTCGAAAAAAAAAAAAAAGAAAAAAAAAAAAAGAGTTTCGACTCTGTTCAGTAATATCTTGTAAAAACCAAATAAAATTATTTTTAACCAATTTCATGGTTTCTTCGAGAAAATTTGACGAAATAATCAAGTTAAAGCCTAAGAGTTAGGTAAAAATATCATAATATAATCTTTTTTTTATAACAATTTAGTGATTTTTGACACGCTATGGCAACAAAAAACATAGTTTTCAGCTTAAAAATCTGCTTGAACTTTCGAAAAAGAAAAAAATTATATCATTTTCGGCCTAATTCTGAGTTTTTTTGGCTTGTTTTAAACAAAATTTTGCAAAATAAGTGCGTTTCTAGCTGAAAAACGTAAAATAGAAAAATAATGCAAAATAAGTAATTTTCGACTTAATTTGTTGATTTTTCAGTTCGTTTTACGAAAAAACCTGAGATGGTAGGTAGTTAAACTAGTTAACTAGTTAAATCGAGCGAAACAAACAAAATAATATCAATATCAATTGTTTTTGTGATTTCTAAGCGTGTTTGGACAAGATTTTGCAAAATAAATGAGCCTCTGGTTCAAAAACGAAGTCGCGCGAAACAAGCCAAAAATAATATCAATTTCGACTTAATTTTCAAATTTTTATGCCTACTTCAACGAAATTTTTAGAATTTTCTTTGTTTTTATCTCAAAAACGTGCTTAAACACTTGAAAAGGGCAAAAATAACACTGTTTTTGTTCACATTTGTTGTTTTTAAATTTTAATTTTGCGAAATAATTGTGTTTCTAGCTGAAAAGTATTCGAATTGCTGTCTAGTAAAATATTGTAAAAACACAAACAGAACTATTTTAACGAATTTGGTGTTTTTTTAGGCTTTTTTAAAAAAAAATTGACGAAATAATCAAGAAAACGTGGAAAATGCTCGAAAAACAGTTTTTTTATTCCCAGAAAATCACCAGATATTTGAAGTTTTACAAAAGTTTTCACAACATTACTAGACTAACACCTGGCAACACTGGTGTATACTCACAAAAAAATGTAGATAAAGGAAAAATGTGAAAAAAAATGAATACGCAATTATATTTTTAGCTACCCCTTGTATACTTGAAGAAAAAAAGACGTTAGTGCTTTTAATAAAATAAAAACAATCTTTCTAATTAGTCATTCATCTGGAAGATTTCAATGTGGAATATACAGGCTGACGCGGAGAACACTGCCTTTACTATTGAAAGTATGAATGAAATTTTTTGTGTTATTATAACCGGCCCCAGTTTTATGCGCACCCGAAAACACATTTTCAAAATAAAAAAAGATGAAATTACACCCCCGTAGTTTCAATAGGACCTAATCTTTCTGCCTCACACTGTATATTTAAATTTTTGTTACCTTGTCAAACTCGTCGATGAGACAAACCCCCTGGTCCGCCAATACTAGCGCCCCCGCCTCCAAAGTCCACTCCCTAGAGGCCGGATTCCTCCTCACATAGGCCGTCAAACCCACAGCACTGGCCCCTTGCCCAGTGGCGAAAACAGCCCTCGGTGCAATTTTCTCCACATATTTCAAAAACTGGGATTTGGCAGTTCCAGGATCACCGCAAATTAGCACATTTATGTCCCCTCTTACTTTGTGTTTCTGACCGGGATTTTTGGGTTCTCCCCCGAACAAAGCCAAAGCTAGGGCTCTCTTGATGTAATCATGACCGTAGATAGAGGGCGCGATTGATGCAATTATGCGATCAGCAATCCTGTGATCTTTGCTCATTTTTCTTATAGCATTAACATCATCGTCTGTGAGGGATTGCACGATTTGTTTGCAGTCTTTTACCACTAAATGGTTGGCGAAAATGACGGTGGAAAACACCGGGAAGCCGTTATCGATGTTTAAAGCTCCGTCGTAGTTGTTTGAGTAAATTCCGGTGACGTCGACTTCGTCTCCAGGTTTGCAAAGGTCGCAGAGGTCGGCGAGGAGAATGCAGTCTTTGGAACGGGGCACTCGTCCGGCGGGGATGTGACCAGGGGACTCTTGAAGCGTGATTTTTTGGTAGTTGCGATAAATTGTTTGTTCCATATTGATCTATGAATAGTGTTTTCATCAATATTTTATTCAGAATTGTTTAACACTTACCATAAAAGGACCGCTGCTTTGACACTCGGGACAAACTCCAGGCTGGACCTCACTGTGCTGATTTTGCACAAAAGGGCCCAAAATAAAGCCACATTTGTTACAGTCGAATTTCACGACCGAAAGTTGGGGCAAAACACCAGTTGTTGCGGTCACTACGCCCACTGTGCGGACCAATTGGTTGACGTGAAGCTTTCTGGAAGTTAATTCCAGTGAAATTATTTTATAATTTGGTGTTAAATTTCATTTAGAAACTTCGTTATTGAGGTAAAAATTCAAAGTTGGCGCCAAATTATGTCAATTTCTATCGCTAGAGGCAAATTTAATTTTCTGACGTCCTTGAAATGGGCTTTACTTTTGTCAAGTGCTATTTGTTTTAGTGATTTTTTACAATCATCCTCCTTAAAGAACAGAAAGAATTTAGCAAATTTTGAAAAACATGACATGAGAGTTCAGTTTGGTAAGTGGCAATTTTCCAACCAGCTGAACTGTCATATTACATATCAACTGATAAGAAAGTGAACATTTTCCAACCCTGACTTGATATTTCGTAACAATTGTTATATAAAGTCGAAATGTCATAATTTCTAACTTTTCACATACAAGGTACAATGGCGAGCACTAAATTTTAGTAGTCAATGTCATTCTCTAATATAATCTTTTTTTTTTATAACAATATAGTGATTTTTGACACGCTATGGCAACAAAAAACAGAGTTTTCAGCTTAAAAATCAGCTCAAACTTTCGAAAAAGGAAAAAAAATTATAATTTTCGGCCTAATTCTGAGTTTTTTTGGCTTGTTTTTAACAAAATTTTGCAAAACAAGTGCGTTTCTAGCTGAAAAACGCACTAAAACCCTAGAAAAATAATGCAAAATAAGTAATTTTCGACTTAATGTGTTGATTTTTCAGTTCGTTTTACGAAATTTCGTAAAAAAACTGAGATGGTAGGTAGTTCAAAAATGAAGCATTTTCGGCCAAATTTGTATTTTCTCGGCTTATTTTTGTCTTATTTTGCTCTAAAACTAGTTAAATCGAGCGAAACAAACAAAATAATATCAATATCAATTGTTTTTGTGATTTCTAAGCGTGCTTGGACAAGATTTTGCAAAATAAATGAGCCTCTGGTTCAAAAAAGTCGCGCGAAACAAGCTAAAAATAAAACCAATTTCGATTTAATTTTAAAATTTTTATGCCTGCTTCTACGAAATTTTTAGAATTTTCTTTGTTTTTATCTCAAAAACGTGCTTAAACACTTGAAAAGGGCAAAAATAACACTGTTTTTGTTCAAATTTGTTGTTTTTAAATTTTAATTTTGTCATTTTCGATCCCGTCTAGTAAAATCTTGTAAAAACACAAACAGAACTATTTTAACTAATTTGGTGTTTTTTCGGCTTTTTTGAAAAAAAATTGACGAAACAATAAAGAAAACGTGGAAAATGCTCGAAAAACAATTTTTTTATTCCCAGAAAATCACCAGATATTAGAAGTTTTACAAAAGTTTTCACCAAATTACTAGACTAACATGAAAATCACCAGATCTGGTGAAATTTTACCACACCTGGCAACACTGGTGTATACTCACAAAAAATGTAGACAAAGGAAAAATAAATACGGAATTATATTTTTAGCGACCCCTTGTATATTTGAAGAAAAAAAGACGTTAGTGCTTTTATTAAAAAAAAACAATCTTTCTAATTAGTCATTCACCTGGAAGATTTCAATGTGGAATATACAGGGTGACGCGGAGAACACTGCCTTTATTATTGAAAGTATGAATGAAATTTGTTGTGTTATTATAACAGACCCAAGTTTTATGCGCACCCCAAAACACATTTTCAAAATGAGAAAAGATGGATACAACCATGGAATAATGAAATTATACCCCCGTAGTTTCTTCCTTCCTGTATATTTAAATTTTGTCAGGCATTAATTTTTACTAGTCAATGTCATTCTCTAATATACCCTCTTGTCAAAATTACACAGGAAAACTACTTTTATTGACAAAAAGATGAAGTTTCGAAATGACATTACCTACCAAAATTTTATGCTCGCCATTGTACTTACTTTGATTATTACTTTATGACAGTGAATGAAATAAATTATTTCTAATGAATCATGGCAAAATTCATGATGCAAAGTCGGTTTCAATGCATTACTTGAATATATATTTTCTTAATTCTAATAATTTCTAATAAAAATTTGCTTATTGTATCATGCTTTCAAATAAACTTCCGATCGAAGTGTCCTATGACTTTGAAATTAAGTTGGTAACATGAACTATCAAATTCAAATGTCACACAAAATAATTCAGTGTTGCCAATTTAATTTTGAAGTCACGGGTCGCTTTGATCGGAAATTTATTTCCCTTATATTATCTCATTGTTTTATGAAATAGTGGATCTTCTCTTTAAATTAGTTAGATTCTCCTTTTACACAGAAAATAACTGTTTGTGATTTATTTCACCTCAAAAAACGCAGTTGCAATGAAGCCAATGCGGCAAGAGAAAAGTCCCAAAGTAAACAAACCTGAAGGTCCTAAGCTCCTCAATTAGCGGCAATTCAGAAATTCTGACATGAATTTCATTAGTCACCCTCTCGTAACTCGGATATTTCGAAAGTACAATTTGCTTCGCAACTTCATCAAAGATTTCCAACATTTGGAACGGAGCTTCTGGCAGAAAATACGCCAAAACGTGTTCCTTATTCGCCAAGTACGGGAATTCGACAGTAAAACTCGACTTATTGCTCTCACACATCCGCCTGATCTTCTCTTGAAACACATACTGGCCTCTGTTGTTACTATACGTCCTTAGGAAATTTTTGAATCTGTTGGCAATTTCAGTTCTGGGCCCAATCATGCAAACCCATTCTTTGATAGTGTGCCCCTTGGTGTCTTCCAGATTTTCAATCGACTCAATCATTTCGGCGTCTTCTGTCTCACCAGCGGCTGCTTTTTCGGCCATTCTGCGTTTTCTCCTCGGGTCAGCTTCGTCGTCACTTTCGTCATAAAATAATTCCCTGTCGTCGCGTCGGATGATCCCCATTTCGCGGTCGCGACGACGGAGATCCTCTTCTGCGGCCATTCGGTCGCCAATTGACATCATTTCGTACTCTTCGTCGTCGAGGTTGCGCTCGTCGTAACGGTCCAAGTGGGGCATTGGGCGATAGTCACTAAAATTAACAAAATGTAAGAAAAACCACCCAATAGTTGGATTCGATTACTTTTCCATATTGTCCCCGAACAATTCCTCCCCTTCTTCCTCCTCCATGGGGCTCCCGTCCCCGAACAGAGCCCCCTCATCCTCAAAGGGCTCCAATTCACGCGGTGGTGAAGACATGTTAGACCGAGGGGTGGGTTGCGGAGACTCATCTTCAGGCTAATAGAACAAATTACAATCATTTTGACTTGATTTTAGACCAAAACTTACCCTGTGAGACATTTTCAACAAAATCTGTGGCAACCTAAGTAGTAATTTAACTAATGAAGAACACAACACAAAGAATTAACAGTTGGTGAAAAATTGGCGCCAAAACAAGCGGTTTCACAACCTCATTTTTTTAGTAACTTTGCGTTTATCCCCACGTAATTGACGTAAATATAACCTAGAAATAGTGCGGCAAAAACAAAATTAACGCAATTAGGCTTTAAAATGGATGATTCTGACGATGATTGTTGTTACGTTTATTTGGAATTTAATGAAAAACTCACTTCAAACATTTTTGCCAATAAAATGTTTTTGCGGATAGCCAACTTGCATAAACCCAATCCTTTGGTACAAATCAACGATTTGTTGTTTAAAGGTGAGTCTAGACCAATTATTTTTAATTGAATTTTGATTCCGAATCGATTTGTAGGATCATACGACGAGTGCGTTGGGACTAATTTATTTTTTGAAGAAGTCGAGGACCCTCCTTTGAAAACCAACATATTTGACAAGGACACTCCAATCCGGCTCAAACCCTTGATAACTCAGACTAAAATCATCAAATTAAAACAAACTAAACTTCCTCGGAAAGCCGACACTAATAAACAATCCCAGGAATCAGTAGTTTTAAATTTAAATCAAGAATACAACTCTGTGTTGGAAAAACTAGAACAAGGCATTTTGAATATTGACGATATTGCGCACAGAGAGCCCGAGCCCCATTTCGCCGAACACTTCACCGACATGCCATGTAAGCCCCATGTGCAAGTCTCAACTGAACCTGAAACGGAAATCGCAACCCTTCTTGACTCACTTGATACTTCCCCCACCTCAGCTTTGGAAGCAAAATACGAGAGACTTAAACGCCTGGCTCGGCGTCCCGTCAAACGCATGAAATCCCCCGAACTCATCGAAGACTGCGCCCCCGAATACCGCAACGCTTATGAATACCACAATTTGGAGCGCGAAATCTGCCAAAACAGTGACGTTTTTCGCTCAGTTTCGTGCCCCATTATCGAGAAGAGTTTCGTGGGGGGTGTCGACATGGACCGATGCGTCCTGCAAGGCCTCATCCCCGCATCGTCGAACCCGAATCGAGACCTCACGAGAGACGAGCAAAGGAGAATTTTCACAATTGACAATTTTGAGAATTTGTCCCTCCCAGCGCGGTATTTGGTACTCAAAAAGTGTGTCTCACAAATTGAGGAGTTGATTGAAAGCTCGTCGAGTGAGGAGTTGAAAGAAACGGACGAAAATGGGAGGACGATTGCTGATATTTGTGACGTTTTTAGGAGGCTTGTGAGGGCTTTGGAGCAGACTATGGGTCAGACGAGTGACAGGGTGGAGGCAAAGGGGACGGATTTGAGTGAAAGGGGGGATGACGAGTATGTCAAGTATAAGTACGAGCCCTCAAAAGAATTACTCGACCCTTTGGAGATTTTCAATTATGATGAGTGGACCGATGAGGAGGAGAAGGGGATGGAGTTGGACAAGAGTGCGCAAGGACAGGATTTGGGGCTCTCGGACGACAGCGTAGAGGAGTCCGATCATAATTGACTCCTTTTTGTAAATATTTAATAAAAAGTATACAGGGTGTTTCAGATATACCAGGAGCATGGATTTTTTTAATTGTATCTGTCAAAAAATTTGACATTTGACATTTTTTGTTTATTTATTAGTGTTACTAATAATTTTGTAATGTTTTTTATAATTACACTGGTCAACAAATTTTCGGTAACATTGATTAAACTACCTTCCCCGTTTATGATTTTTCACTGATTTCGAAAATTTTCACAAAAATGTCTCATCACGTATCATTCATATGTTATCAACTTCGTTCTGACACATACAGGGTGCGTCAAACCTCGCGCCCCAGAGAAAATTTTCAAGTAAGGACCAGGAACATGAAAAAAATGTTTAAAAAATTCTGTCAAAAAATTTTGGCATTAATTTTTTGACATTTGACATTTTTTTATATCTACTTAATGATACTGATGATCTTGTATATGTTTTATTACAATTATTTAGTAAAGGGACAAAAATTTTGCCTATAAAAGCCACAAATAACATTGAACAGAGTTACAATTTAGGATACAGCTTCCTTGTTTCCTCTTCTAATAGCCTGTAGCAAAAAATTATTTTTCCACCAGAAAGAAATAGTCAATGTGCAAACTTTAATCACTCATAATTTCGAAATTTTTATAGATAAAATTTTTTAACATTTTTTCCATGTTCCTGGTATCTTATATGGCATTTTTCTATGGGGAGCGAGTTCTGGCGCAACCTGTATGTTAAAGCAAAAGAGTACTGAAAATAATTCATCCATTTAATTTATTTTATTATGAGCATACAATATTTTAATAAACTAACTTTAGAAACATTAAAAAAGTCATATATTACAATAAAAGAGTGAAATCTCAACATTTTCTTTTGTTAGTGTCGCGTTTTAAAAAAGCTAACAGTAATCGCCCATTATGGAAGGGTTCCAGCGGCCTTGCTAGCGTTCTTTTATCTTTCTGATGTCTTGGTGAAAATTATTAAATTATTGGTAAAAAATGCAAATAAACGGTACGTGTTATCAAAAAACTAAATGCACTTTGTTATTTAGGAAGTAAAAAACTACTATAGACCAAATTGTCTTCAATATTACCGAACCCTTGTTGACCCGTGTTATTTAGTAGGTATAAATTTTTGTAACATTATTTTCTATGTCTTGGTATTTTACCTTTCTCTGGGGCGCGAGTTATGAAACACCCTGCATGTTGTGAGGTGGTCGTTGCTTTTGAAGTCAAAGTTTTGATAAAAATTTTATTAAAAGTTATTGTCGCTCAATGTCGTAAATTAATTCTAAAACAAATATTGCATTAATTTAGTTGAAATAAGTTAATTTGTACTTGGAAAAGTCAGTCAAAGTCTTCTTCTGCATCAGGAAACGGTTTCATATCAGGCGTTGTCAGCTTGGCTTTTCTTATATACGGCAGACTTAATAGTTCTTTGGATGATTTCCGCACAAAAGGGTCATACACTAACAACAACTACACAAAAATTAATTACAATCACAATTTTGACAAGAAAATATACCTTAAGAAATTCCTCTTCCTCCGAATCGTTAAATTTGATTTGAGTGTTAAGCTCGCAGGGCTTCCACTGCGGAAACCAGACTTCATAAGCGGGCAGTGAAGAGACTCCAGGCCATACGTCTTCATTTGGTGTCCCCAGAGTTTTGAAAATTTTAAACATTTGATCGATTTCTGAATCACCGGGGAAAAGGGCCCTTTTCAGCAACTAAAATATTTCTCCATGAGACAAAATCACAAGAAATGGGTTTTAGTACCATTTCAGCCATAACACACCCTACACTCCAAACATCAATCCCATTTGTGTACAACTTAGAACCTAGGAGTAATTCAGGGGCGCGATACCACATTGTGACCACTTCGTGAGTATACGGTTTTGTGGGTATTGAGAAACAGCGAGAGAGACCAAAATCGGCGATTTTGATGTGACCTTCCTTATCGACTAGCAAGTTTTGGGGCTTTATATCACGGTGGAGGATGCGTTGAGTGTGCAAATACGCAAGACCTTCACATAACTGCTTCATGTAGTTCTAAAAACAATTCTTTATCGAATTACCAGTAAACTAATTATGTAAGAAAGGTTACTGTTAGTCGTAACATTAAAAGCTGCATTTGAGTCTTCCTACACTCTAAATCTAATTATGGTCCTCTACTGCAATAACTTTGTCAATTTTAAGTGAAATTGAGACAACAGCAAACAAAGTAAAAGCAGTAAGCTAATAAAGAAGTCTATTTTGATTTAAAATTCCCGACTGTTACACGAAAACATTGATTTTCTACAATTAAAAGTTTTACAAAAATACTACTCATTTTATGTCTTGTTCTTTAAAGATGTATGGCTGGTTGCCTACATAATTGACAATTTGTTTTTTTAAAGACTACTGGCATAGTTAGCGTTAGCCCACATATTTTTTTTTACTTAATTACTTACTCTAATAAGTTCCTTCTCTAGGGGCTTCGTGGACCCGTCTAGATACCTCCTGAGATCCAAGTCCAAGTACTCAAAAACTAAGTACAACTTATCTGAGGTGTACATAACATCTTGGAGTTCAATAATCGCCGAGTGCCTGAGCCCCTTGAGAATAGCAATTTCCCGAATGGCCGTCGATGGGACCCCCTCAGTGTAATCATTCTTGCTGAACCTAGAAAAACGCGCGAAATGAAAACAGGCCGTTAAACTGTTCGCCCCCTTGTCAGTACCGTTTAGTATACTTACAATTCCTAAATTAGTTCTAGATATGATGATAGTTAGCGGAAATATAAGCTGAATCATGTGGTGCTACGAGCCCAAACTACGAAAGCACCTCAAGATTCAGCTCAAAGTTCTGCTAAATTAGTAGAGTTAGAAGCGTCCCACCCCTTTAAGAGCTTGAAGCATAAAACATGACCAATGCAAGTGCGATAAATTGTGAAGAAAAAACAACTTTCGCTCAACTTACTTTTCTAATTTAATCCTTTTAAGGGCAACACTTTTACCAGTTACTTTGTTCTTTGCTTTGTACACGATGCCGTAGGTGCCTTCACCGGCTGTTCCCAATTTGATGAATTTGTCCAAAGTGTTCATTTTTGCGGATCTTGGGGCTTTGCATCACCACACAACACTCCACTCTGTTTAGCGGGAAAATCGCGTTTAGCATTTTAGCGGCCATTCCTGTTTATAAATTATAATGGCGCAGGCGCACCAACCTGGAAAATTCGATAATTAGGTTGGCAACGTAATCAATAATTATTCAAAAAAAAGTTTTTACTACAAACAATACACATTCTTATGATTTAGCAATTTTAGGTACTTTTATATAAACATTGGTTATTGTTTCTTACCCCAAGTTTACCCCATATCAACAATAATTCATAAATAAAATAAAAAAATTTCAGTTTGTCAGGTTGGTGACCCATAATGCGGGAACAGTGACTTGAAGGGCCAACACAAAAATCTCATGAAATATACCGAGAATAATTTTTTAACGCCGTACCAAACGTTAAAAAATGTAACAAGCTTTAAAAACAAGAAAAATAAAATAATTGAGAAAAATTAGAAATGTTTGCATAATAAACCCAGTAGCCACTTTACCCCACTCCACTCGTTATTGTTCAATTGACCAATCAACTGGCTTATTTATTTTCCAGCGCATGCGTATTGCAAACGACGCTAGCTGGCGAAGTTGGAAGAAAAGGTGTAACAAGTTTTACTACGCGTAATCTTTTATTTTCGGTTAAAAACAATGTTTCTTTTCCATTAAGTGTTACAACTAGCGTCAACTGTACGTTTTCTTCTGGTGTACGTTTTTTACAAGGTGAGTTCAGTAGTTTTTGTGTAAAATCAGAAATTTCGGCAAATTTTTTTACCGACAACACGACGCCATTTTGTCGCGTCTATCCTTTGGAAGTTTTCAACTAAAAATTAATATTTTTTCGGCGTTTTTAGACTTCGGCTATGGCGTCGGAGCAGTTTTCGCTATGTTGGGACAATTTCCACAAGAATATGTCTTCGGGAATGAACTCATTATTGGAAAATGAGGACCTGGTGGATGTGACTTTGGCGGTGGAAGGAAAGTACCTAAAGGCCCATAAAATGGTGCTTTCGGTGTGTAGTCCGTATTTCCGTGAACTTTTTAAAGTAAATCCGTGTAAGCACCCGATCGTGTTTATGAAAGACGTTTCTTACATTGCCATGAGTGATTTGCTTCAATTTATGTACCAAGGAGAAGTTCAAGTCAGTCAAGAAAATCTCACTACTTTTATTAAAACTGCCGAGGCGCTGCAGATCAAAGGACTTACGGGGGACGGAAATGTAAGTGTTGCAGTTTTTCAAGATTGGTTGAAGAGCAGTTTTATAGTTTTTTTTTTTGTTTAGGGCTCTGCTGAATGTGATAATGAACCAGAAGAGTTGAAAGCTGCTGACGTCGAACCCCCTAAGTTAGCACCCGCCTCGCGCCCTAAAAAAGTCCACTCTACTTCTACCCCACCTGCTAAACGTCCGAGGTTAGCGCCAGAATCGAGTACGTCGTCGGCACTAACAAAGACTGAACCATCTGTATCAAGCACACCCACTAATGATCAACTAATACAATTTAAAATGGAACCGTATGATCAAAGTCAGTCTTCTATTACGGTTCCTGATGATGGTGTTGATGAAACGTTTGCTGACGATCCCTTGGATGATACTACTGCTGATGAGGGAAATGAGGATTATTCGATGATGGAAGGTGGGGATGATGAGCCCCAAGCTGGGACTAGTACTGATGGAACGGCTGGAGAAGGACAAGGTATGTAGATGATTGTATTTCTAAAATTTTTCACTTGTTGAAGAACATAACTGGGAGAGACACATTGTGCGATTTGCGGTTTACTAGAGATTTGAATAGCATTTTAAAGATTTATAGGAAATGAGTTTTCTTGGAAAATATCATTCAGTACAGACAATTTTGAAAACGCACCTGAAATTCATTCATTTGACAACAGGCTGGTTCAGTAATGTGTTTCTTAAAATGACTTTGTCTTTGAAATTTTAATACATTGATTGATTTTATTCATTTGAGATCAGTTATGTCTTCGACAAGAAAAATGTTTACAAAATAAGAAGTTTTTGGAATTTGTATATATTTTGTTTTCAAAACATTAAGTTGTATACCAAGAGACATTTTGTAAACATTTTTTGTATCTATTGTACCGAAATGTTTGCGATTCTACGGCATAGTAGGCAATAATTTTTAAAATGATTTGTTTTGATTCACAATTTTGTAATATTTGTATTGTATTCAGAAACGTTTATGTTTTATAAACGTTTTGTTTGTGTCTTTTTTATTTTTGTGTTTGTGGAAGTGTAGTGAAATGTTAATTGGTATTTTATTTATAACAAGCGGTTAAATTTTTAATCGCTTGTTTGAAGTAAGATTGATTTTTATTTATCGACTTCATCAGTGGACGATTTTAGTATTTTGTGTGTTTTTAAAGTGACCGTGGGTTTACAAGAAAGTGAAGATAGGAACTTAAATAATTGGTAGGTGTCATTTAAGTTTTTTCCATCATTTCTCATTAACTTTTTGAATAAACAAGACAGTATAAAGTAATCACTAATAATTAATAATTGTAAACAAATAAATGTTGTTGCTCTGCTTTTAAATTTAAAAGTGAAGCTTGTTTGAAAAATATATTGGCTTGTTTATTTTTTAGTTCTTTTGATATTCGACACGCACAATTTTACCTACCATGGCGTAAAATCGCGATTTTTAAAAATTTATTTTTAACGTATTGAATTTTTACCAGATTTCACAATTGTGAATATGAGTGACAAGAAGTTTGGTAGAAGTTGTATATTTATTGATGGATTTACGTATCATCAGAATACAGTAAAGGAAAGTTCTAAAACGCGGTAAGTATTGGTAACCAAAAAAAAAAACTTAAAAAAGTATATGTTAGAAGTGAAGTTATTGAACAGAAAGAATCATAAGGTAATAAAAAAAATATAAGTGAAAGCAAAATTTAATTAAAAAAGAATCGAAAATATTAAAAAAAACTAATTTGCTAAATTTACAATGAATCTAGAATGAAATAAAATTTTTGGATAATGTACTAACTTTAACTTTTATCAATTAGGGATAGTAATTTTGTGTTTTTGTTAATTATAAGAGACGTTAAAACATTAATTAGGAATTTGTTTCTCGTATAAACGTCAATTTAACAAGTCTCTATTCATCTTGAAAATGACTTATTTTACTTGCTAGCTAGTTATACGTAAAACGGATACGATTTTGTAAAGTGTCATAATTATTTTTTCAAACGTCAGAATTTCTAAAAAAAAATTAATGTTGGTAATACTTATTATACTGTATTTAAGTTGATAGTAGAATTGTCAAAGTCACAATTTACGAGTGTACAGTTGGAGACAAAATACTTTGGTCGTCACTTTTTTGACACTTTAATGTAATTCAAGCTTTAACGTTAAAATGAATGACAATTTCAAATTAATGACAGCTACTATATCTTTCTATCAAAAATATGTACAACTTGTCAACTATGATTGACAGTAGCTAAAAATAAGGTTAACGGTCCTAAACCATGTTTTACAATTTAATTTCACTCAAGTGACATTGACGACCAAAGTATTTTGTTTCCAACTGTACCTAACTTTTATGCACAACGAAGTAATCTTGAATTTCTTATTTGTGGTTACTTACACTGATTACCTTTGACAGCATGTTGACATTTATTGACAATCTACCAACAGCTGTTGTTTTGATTAGTAAATCTTGAGTTTATTTATTTAAATTGATTTTAATGTCCTCATAAACGGAAACCGAATGGACTACAATGCATCCAATTCGATTTGGACATTTTAAAACAACCCAAAACATGAGTGTTTGAAGAGTATATGAACGAGTTTTATTGACTCCAGTTTTGGTTAAATAGTTTAAAGCTATAAGAAAAATCCTTTTAATATAAATTTACTTATAAAAGGTAGTTACAAATCAGTTAGAAGCTAATGCTAATCTTTCAACAACTAATACCAAAACGCGTATCACAAACACCAACCACTGAAGCACAAAACTAACTATTGTGACTATTAGTCCTTAACAAACCTTTTAAATTTTCGAAGGTTTTTCTTATACAAGATGCAAGTTTATCTACAGGCCTGTAGATCTATTTACAGCCTTGTAGATCTATCTACAAACCTGTAGGTCTATTTACAGACCTGTAGATCTATCTACAGACTGGTTTCCTTTTAAATGATTTGATGAAATGCGGCTCTTGTCATAATAAGAATTATGCTAATCCTTCAACATACCAACATCAAAACACATTGTATCACAAACTTCTATCACTGAAGCACAAAGCTAAAATTGTGATTGTCTATGGTGGCTATTAGCATTGAAAAAGTTTGAAAAAAAAAAAAACCTTTTAAATTTACCAAAAGGTAATAAGACAATTTTGCTACACCGCCTCCTTAATGAAATGTATCAATATCCCGCCTGGGCATTTCGTAAAAAAATGCATTGGAGCAGTGATTCCGAGTTTTTTCTTAGTTACGAGGGTTACTAGGGAAAAACCGAATGATTTTTAATTATTAATGAAAAATAACGCAATTAATAAAAACTGGGGAGGAAGGATACAACAAAACAAGATATGCCAGGGAGAATTGATATTATGAGGTTGAAACCTTAAGCTAAAGAACTGGATGTGTCAAAAAATTTCCCCAGAATAAAGCGCCAACGGGAATCAGTTGAACTCAAAAAATGCCCAGACGAGAAAAGGATTATCTCTATCAAAACGGCGATGTTTTGCTATACAGTATAAATCAAATATCTACGGAATATTTGGAGGATTTTCCGGTTTTTAATCGATCAACTAAACAACTGTACCACTTTGGGTTTCTTTGAGGCAACTGCGTTTCAGTTGGGAACAAGTTGTGAGGTACATTATTCTTGTACAAGGTATGTTTCATAACAATTTTGTTAATTAAAACTATGGGTGGGGCTGAAATTTTGTTGTTATCAATAACGATCTTTGATTTATTAAGAAGAACCAACATTTTGTGCAACATTCAATAGTTTTATTTGAAAACTGTTGATAACTGCCACAAACACATGAACATAATTAACAGATTCTAGCAGGAATATGCTTTTCTTTTTACAAATCTTTCACACCCAACACAGTTGTTTCAATGTGACAACAAACACTACTGCCACCTTTAAAAAAATCGGGTAGAAAAACATGGCTACGAGAGCCAACTGAACTTTGGTGGTAAAACCGCTAAAAACCCTGTTTATCAAATTCTACTATCAACTGAAATGGAGTAGTGTACAAGTGAGGATAAGACATTCAATAATGATACACGCAGAAAAACCACAGCTTTTTTGATAATGTTTTTATACGGCCGGTTGCGTCTTTAAGCTTCGTGGTAAAAAAAATAATAATTGGGGGCGCCACATTAAATGCGATGACATTTAAAAATTGCTAACAGTAGCACTATTGTCACTTTAACAATGTGAATTGTTAATGTCACTTTGACAATTAAAATTGAACGTCGCAGCTTACAATTTTAAACAGCAGTTAATCAAAAACTGGTGAGGTGTCACTACACTAAGTCCAAGGTTTGAAGTTGTGGCGGACCCAAAAAAATTTCTTACGGCAGGTTGTACAAAAAGGAAGTTCTCTATCCGTCAAGGAGATTACTTCAAATTACTGACCACAAAGTGGTTTAAAAGGTACTGCAACTTTGTTAATTTATGCTATTTTAAAAACCATACGATGTAGAAAACTAAAAAACTTCAGGTTGCCGCACAAAAGTAAAAAAATCAATGAAAGTAAAACTCCATAAAATTTACCAGCATTTATTTTTCATTACTTAGTGGCTATGTTCGCTTATTCCGCTATAATTAATTTTTGTTTGAACATAAAATCTTAATTATTCATCAAAAAACTTAATGTATTATACTCATACAGTGCGATCAAAAAGTCTATCAAGCAAGCCTAGAAATTTAAAACGTTTAGGTAGTTTTTGAAGTCAACTTACTGAACAATTGAACTATATTGGCGTGATCTCACAGGGAGTTAATTGTTCATCGTATTTGCCGCCAAGGTCTTTATTTCTGGAGTGCATACATTGTAAAACGTCTTCGTACCTTCGAAATTCATTTTTATGAATAAAATAATGACGTTTCAAATTAATTTATTTCATAGTCACCTAGCCACCCCGCAATGTTGTCAACTGCCGCAAAATTCCCTACATTTCGAAATTTGAATTTTTTTGTTTAAATTTGTGCAAAGTAGAAAAAATACTGTATGATATCTCGTTTATAAGGCATTTTGTCGCACTTCTTTGTGTATTATTTATGTATTATGTGTTATGCTTCTTATAAAACTTGTAAATCATAATATACTATTATGTAAGTGATGACAGGAAACCGTGGTGAACGATTTGTATGAATAAAAACCAACAACATCTTATTTTAGGATGTCTTGCGGCCTTTCATAGAATAATTCAATTTGCTTAGATCAAAATTTTAATTTTTATAAAATAATTTTTTGACATCTAGATGACATACGAACTGCCATGCGACATTCGTCCTCAAGTATGCCTACTTAATAGAAAGACTTTGATCGCACTGTAGAACCAATTTTTCAGTTTTTTATTTATGAATAATAAGTTTTCGTTTCTCTAAGGACGAATCGAATACGAGTATTACAAGCTTAAAAGTAGCCTTTTTAAAATTTATTTGTTATTTAAATTTTTTTCGCCACCACTAGTGAAGTTTTGGATGCTTAT